TGTATCTTTAAAGGATGTTTGGGATATAAATAATTGTAGTAGCACCTGAGGTGTTACTAATATAAAGTTTTCACATGCTTAGTTTCATTTTTAGAAGCAGAAAAATCAAAGAACTATCAAGTCTGACATGATACACTGAAATCATCGCTCTTCTGCTTATTGTTTTAATGAAAACTCCTCCAGGATGCTGGGTCCTAAATGTTACGTAGTAGACAATTTCCTGTGACCAGGCAGGTGTGTTGTAGTAGACAATTTCCTGTGACCAGGCAGGTGTGTCTGTCTGGAATTTCTCTCCAGAATTTCACCTGAGTCACAGCAGTCTCAGACAGTGCGTGGCTTCCAGGCCCCTACCCTCTGAGTCAGAGGGTGAAGGAGCACGTTCTCATCCTGCACTTAAGGCGCTGGGTGAGTTTTACCTGAGGTATCCTGGTACAGTGGGGTTTTTATTTAGGGGGAGGGAGATGGTGGCGTGCACTGGGATCACTCCTGGTAGTGGGGTGCTGGGGAGTGAACCAGGCTTTGACAGGGCATGCACCATAATCCCTGCACTCTCTTTCCAGTCCTCTGGTCCTATTTTTGAAAAGCCAAATTTCTCACAAAGATACATTGCAACAAGAGGTCTTGAAAGCATGGATGGGTGTTTCCCACCCATAAATGACTGACTAGTTGACTCCTGAATACGTTGAAACTTTACAAAGTTTAATTTGAAGAATACAATTTCAGGGTCAGAGAGGTAGTCCAGCAGGTAGGGTGCTTGCATTGCATATGTCCACCTGACCCTAGACCTCTAATTGTCCTCTGAGCATAGAGCTAGGAGTAAGCCCTGAGCATTACCAGGGGTGCCCCCCCCAAAAAAAAATACAGTTTTGGAAAGTGAAATACATTTTTTTAATCATTGGCAAGGATAGTAAACCTATCTCCATGATCCCCTTGATTAATATAATTTTGTAACATTTTAGCTGTGGGTTTTTATTTAGCCAGTTGGCTTAGTTATACTCTGTGAGTGTTCAAGTTGGTGGACCAGTAGTGAAGCTTGATTCCAAGAATGGAAAATGCCACTCACAAGCAGATCAGGCTTGGTGGTGATGCAGGGTTTCCTAACATGGACATCGTCCATTCTGCTCTCTTGTTTTTGAGAAATATCTTCCTTTACATTGATGTTTGAATTATAGAGCCAGGAACTTGCCATGCTTTTCTCTCCTGACTTCTTAGCTAACTGGAACATCACTTTAAAAAGCATTTTTTTTTCTCTTGTTTGCTGGACCACACCTAATGGAGCTCAGGGCTTACTCCTAGCTCTGCACAAAGGGATCACTCCTGGCAGACTCAGAGGACCATATAGACTGCTGGGAATTGAACCTAGGTTGGCTGTAGGCAAGGCAAAACATAAATGTTCTCTCCTGCATCTCCCCCTCCAATTTAAAAAATATATTTCCCCTTCCCTTTTTTCCTCTTCTTATTTAGCAAAGCAGTAGGGCATTTGCCTTCCGTGCAGCCGGTCTGGCCGAGCTGGGTTCGATTCCTCCGCCCCTCTTGAAGAGCTCGGCAAGCTACTGAGAGTATCTCACCCACACGACAAAGCCTGGCAAGCTACCCGTGACATATTCAATATGCCAAACACAGTAACAACAAGTCTCACGATGTAGATGTTACTGGGCCCGCTCGAGCAAATCGATGAACAATGGGAGGACAGTGCTAAAGTGCTATTTATTTATTTATTTATTTGCTCTTTGGGTCACAACTGGTAGCGTACAGGGGTTACTCCTGTCCCTGAACTCAGGAATTACTCCTGGCAGTGTGTGGGCGGCCATATGGGATGCTGGGGATCGAACCCGTCCTACTGCTGTACTATCGCTCCAGCTCCATTTTTACTCTTTTGTGATCAGCAGTCACACATGTGCTTTTGGTGCTCACATATTTTTAGTTGTGGTGCTCATAAGGGTCACACACTAGCCCCCACACACCTGGTTCCAGTGCACCTGAAACCACACATGTTGTTGTAGCACTTCGATTCCCAGCAGCCGTGCCACACAGGTTGAGGTGAGCACGTGGGTGGTACTGGGTATCAAACTCAAGTCTTGTATACCACAGAGACACATCCCTGAGTTCCAAGCACAGCACTAAGGCCGGACCAATAGTACAGCAGGGAGGGCACTTGTCTTGCACATGGCCAAACCGGGTTCAATCCCTGACATCCCATATGATTCTCTGAGCACTGCCAGGAGTAATTCCTGACTGCAAAGCCAGGAGTAAGCATCTCTGGGTGTGACCATAAAAAAAGAAAAGAAAAGAAAAAAAAGCCAAGCCCAGCACTTGTGATTAATGAGGTTGCTTCTTTAATTGTGAACATCTACTAAGAATAAAATTTCTCCCCAACACAGTCACTTTCCTAGAAAAGTCAAACATTTGGAGTCACAAAACATGGCTTCTACATGGAATGTATTCTGAGTGGATTCAGAGAGAGATTAGGTTAATGTCTCATCTCCATAGGCAGCTATGTATGACTTATAACCATTGTACTTGGTTCAGTTTTGTTACTTTCTTATCCATTTAATTGAAAGCACATTCTTCAAGGTGTGTGTCTAGATTCATAGGCCTATCTCAGTCAAAGATTGCAGCTTTCTTTCCAGATCACATCAATAAAGCAAGTAACACAGTTGAGACCATTGGAACTTGTAGGTTTCCTAAAGCATGTAAGGGGCACTTACACACTTATACTGTTGTGCATAAGTGCCCCTTACTGTTTCATGTGTGCCCCTAACTGCCCCTGTTTTGTGTGCAGCAGCATTATGTCTAAAACTACACAACAATGTACATGCCTGGGGTTTCAAAGTTGTTTAGCTCCCAGGTGCTAGCGTCATCTAAGCCTTCAGAAATCTATAATCATTTTGCATAATTCTTTCATTTTTCATATCTATCCCATCGGCAGTAAAGTAGAACACAATAAAATGAGGTGTGCCGGTAGTTTTAAGATCGAAACTGCTAATGAGGACAAGCTAGAACTTATGCCACGTTGCACAGAGCTGAATGCTATCATTCACAGTATCTCCCCAAGGCTTATTGCCAGTGTCGGATAGTTAAAATGTGCATGTCTAGACTCACACAGGTTCTGGGATTGCCATCACAGAAACATGCAGTTTCAGTGATTGGCTGTGTATGTTAGTGTCCTCCTTTAAGTTTGAAAACCTCACGTGGGCATAGAGGTTTCCCTTTGATCATGACTTCTTAAAATCCATGGGATAAAAATGTGTCTATTCCATAATATTGTCAAGTGGAATTCAGCCTGATTAAAAAGCATTCCCATCTTTTAATGTGCCTTTCCTCCTTCTATTTTCTCAGTCTTTACTGCATTGAGTTTTAGTATTTATTATTGCCTTTCACCTAAGACAAAATCTTGTAATTTTTTTTAACATTTCTGATATCCTGTGTGCAGACCCCCTGGTTAAGCACATAGGGGACAAGTTGAATTGTAAGGTAGAGAGATGAGTTCAGGGTGGGTTTTGTGCAACTTTGAGAGAAATGAGAAGGAAAATGATAGAAGGGTCAGAGAGAGCTCAAAGGACTTTGGTGTTTTCTTTGCATCCTAGGTTCCATCTCTGACACCATATGGCCTTCTGAACACAGCTGACAATGGCTCACAAAAAATTTTTTTAAAGTAATAAGTGTAAAGAATGTGCCATATCATATATGACTTGATAACAGAGAATATGTTCTTTCTAATGGAAGGACTTATAGGAGAGGGAAATTTTGAGATGAGCGGCAAATACATGGGTATAATTTGTGTATGCATAGACAAAGAGACCCAGAAGAAGAAAACCTTAGAGACAGGGTTAAAAGCCAGGGAGGAAATAGAAAGTGTTTAAGGATTGTGCAGAATCAAATATTGATGGGAACAAAGACCTTGTGTTAAGCAGTAGCAAGAGAGAAAATAAAAAAATGTCTATAGGACCCATGTAGAGGGAGACTAAATTCCAGGAAAGAGAATTTGTTTTCAGTATTTTTTCATCTGTAAGAACCACTATGTGCCACGTCGCTTATATTCATCTAGAACAGGGTTTCTCAACCTCCAGCACTATTGACATTAGAGGTCAGATCATGCTTTCTTGTGTTTTGCGCATTTTGTAGAATTTTTGGTAGCATCCTTGGCCTCTAACAGGAAGATAACAGGAAGTCCCTGGTAATGGCAGCCAGAAATTTCACCAACCAGGTAGATGATCCCACATGCTCTTTCCGAGAGGAGGGTATAATAAGTTTCCCGCCACATGAGACAGTTGGTCTACCCAGGATTTGGGCTCCTCCGGTGTTCTGGTTATATATGAACTCTTTGGTTTACTCTTTGTTTCTTAGCATTCCTTTGGCATCTAGTCTACTACTGCTTGGGATTTTGTTGCACACCTAATACTGAGATTAAGATATTTCATGTGGTTTGGCATAAAATTGCTGGATTGGACACCAGAAGACCTGGATTCTAACCCTACCTCTGCCACACAGAGGTGGTTGGCACAATGCTCTGTATTAAGTAACCCTATATATCTAAGGTGACCATGTGACCGCAAAAGCTTTATTTATTTATTTATTTATTTATTTATTATTAGTGAGACATCATGAGGTACAGTTGCAGACTTACAAAATTTTTGTGCTCGAGTCTCAACCATACAATGATCAAATACCTATCCCTCCACCAGTGCCCATTTCCCACCACCACAGATCCCAGTATCCCTCCCACCCCCCATCCCTCCCATCCCACCCTGCCTCTGTGGCAGCGCATTCCCTTCAAAAGCTTTTTTTAAAACTTATTTTCTTTCCTGATTTTAAATGGATTTCAGTACTTTCTTCCTCTAATATTTTTGGAATTTATTGCAAATTTGATTTGTATTAAATTTATTTTCATAACCAACATGTTTATTACCAACAAGAAGTATTAAGTATTAAATAAATAAAAGGTCTTCTTATCCTTAATAATTTGTGATGCTAAAGATTCTAATTTTTACCTTTTCTAGATTATTTGAAAAATCTGTTAGAAGACTCTGGAGATTACAGGGACACTCAAGGTAAATTCCTTTTGTGATTTTCTAGATTTTGGACATTTTTGTTTATTTGAACCTAGGAAGTCAACCTATAATAATAACAAAACCTATATGCATAGCTGTTGTATTCATTAGGAGCCTTAAAAAAAACCCAGTCTGGGAATATTGAAATAGAAACAAAGAGGCAAAGTGGAGTCCAGGAAGGCCAGATCAAGGGATCAAGAGAGGCCTGACCAGCCGTCCAGTCTCCTGAGAGAGCAGATCTAGATGGCTTGGGGAAGCTTCTCCTTCCCTTCATGTTGTTAATTTGTCTTCCTTAGATGTTTATTGCTTTTAATAGCAAGGCTTAACATTGACCTGTGAGGTCACTTTAGGTTTTAAATTAGTATCTGGGCAGGGAGATATAGTTCAGCAGGCTAGAGTACATGACCCCAGTTCAGTCCCCAGCATCACATACAAAATCTTGTATTTTTTTTAACATATCTTGTATCCTGGGTGCAGATCCCCTGGTTAAGCATGTAGGGGACAAATTAAATTGTAGGGTAGATAGATGAGCTCAGGGTAAGTCTCGCGCAGCACCATGGGGAGTGATCCCCAAATAAAATAAATTCATGATTTGTGAAGGGACCAATCAGAAAAAAGATCTAAAATAACAAATTATTTGAGCCTCATATTTCTCACAGTGGTTGATAGCTCCCCTGTGGGTGCCGAGCAGATCCAGGGAATGGTGGTAGCTTTGGGTGCAATTGGGGAGCACGTACTAAGACCTTTTTTTCTACAAAGGAATTAGATTAAATAAGTGTGGAACCTCTGTAGACAATGGGCATTATTAGTTTATTAATCTTTTTTACCCTTCCACCTCTTGCCCCAAGGAAAATAGTTCATTCAAATACCAGGGCTCATTGCTATTTACAGGGTTTCCAGTGGTGTGTGTGTGTGTGTGTGTGTCTGTCAGTTTGTCTGTCTGTCTGTCTGTCTGTCAGTTTGTCTGCTTTATCAGGACAGTGGTATTTCCCCAATTTATCCTTATCCACCTCTTCTGAATGCCAAAGTTATATTGTTGATTCTAGAAACACATTAAACAAGACCACATCCACCTTTATTTAATTAATTTCAGTCACATGTTTTGGTACAACCTTTACATTTTCAGATTACAAAGTAGTGTAGGTTTTTAATCCATTTTGTAGAGATTTTTAGATTTTGTTTTTTGGAGTTTTTTTTTGGGGGGGGGCGGGGGAAGAGGTAGGAAGGGTTTACTCCTGGCTCTGCACTCAGGAATCACTAGGAACAATATAGGATGCTGAAGATTGAACCCAGGTTGGCTGCATGCAAAGCAAGTGCCTTACCTGCTGTACTATATCTCTCTGGTCCCTCAGTTTGTAGAAATTTTTGTTCATTCTTTAAATCACTTCTCTAGTATATTTTATTACAAATCTTTCCTTTTTTTAATTGCATGGGTGGAGCAGGGGTATCTGAGGGGACTTCCCAAGCATTGCTCAGGGGGCCCAGGGGCGCCATCTGAAAATTGCTGGCTAACCTGGCTGGGGATTCATTACAAGAGCCCAAGGATCCTGTGAGCCCTGCAGAACCAGAGGAAATCTGGGCCACCCTGGTGGGAATTTCATGGTCACCCCAGCAGTGTTCAGAAGACTGTGTGGTGCCCGGGACTGAACCAAGTTGGCTGCATGCAAAGCAAGCACCTTAACCCTGTACTATTTATTTGTCCCAAATACAATACAAAGGTGCTTTGTGTTGTTTATTTCTGGGGGTGGGTGGGGTGGAGGACGTGGTGGAAGCTGCTTCTGCCTCTTTGAAGCAGGAAACCAGGTTTTACTCCTGGCACTGCAAGGCCCCCTGAATACCATGGGAGCAACCCCAGAGCTAGAAATAGCCCCTAGCACCCCACAGGTGTGCTCCTCATCAAATAGGAAAACTACAGATGAGGAGTAAGTCTTGATTCTTGTCTTCAGGGAGCCTATAATCTACTTGATGAAAAAAATAAAGCCCTTTTAACATAATGAGGCATTAAATGGTACAGATCATTTGAAAGAGAGAAAATACATGGGCCAGAGAGAACACACAGTAGGGTGCTTGCCCTGCATTGTGGCTGACCCAGCACCCTATAGGGTTCCCAAGCCACATCAGGGGTGTTCCCTTGAGTGCAAAGTCAAGTGTAAACCTTGAGAACAGCCAGGTGTGGCCCCAAAACAGAAGGGGCAGGGGAAAGGAGGAGGAGGAAGAAGATAAGGGGGGAAGGGGGAGATGGAGAAGGAGAGGGGAGAGGGAAAGGGAGGAGTGAAGGTGATGAGGAAGAGCTTTGCTTAGGGTGAAGGGTCTGGAGAGGAGCGGAGGATGGCTGGAGGAAGAATGAGCCTGGCCAGCCACAGTCCGTCTCCTGAGGATATAACTCGCAGCTCTTAGAGAACAGGGACCCCAGAAAACATCTGTGCCGAGGCTTCTATCTGAGAATAGGGGCCCCAGAAAACATCCGTCTCAAGACTCCTATCTCCAAGGAAAGTGAGTTATTATCTGTCTTTTATAAATAAAAGGTAAGGTAAAGGCCCTCCCGTTGATCGTCGATTTGCTTGAGCGGGCCCAGTAACGTCTCCATTGGAGACTTTGTTGTTACTGTGTTTGGCATATCGAATACGTCATGGGGAGCTTGCCAGGCTCTGCCGTGTGGGCGAGATACTCTCAGTAGCTTGCCGGGCTCTCCGAGAGGGGCGGAGGAATCGAACTTGGGTCGGCCATGTTGGCCGCGTGTAAGGCGAACGCTGTACCACTGTGCTATCGTTCTGGAGCGATAGCACAGCGGGTAGGGCGTTCGCCTTACAAGCGGCCAACATGGCCGACCCGAGTTCGATTCCTCCGCCCCTCTCGGAGAGCCCGGCAAGCTACCGAGAGTATTCGATATGCCAGACACAGTAACAACAAAGTCTCCAATGGAGACGTTACTGGGCCCGCTCGAGCAAATCGACGATCAACGGGAGGGCCTTTACCTTTACCTATAAATAAAAGAAAAACACAGCCAGAGGTTAAAGAGCTTGTTGAAAGGAAATTAAACACTAAAGCCAAGCTGTGGATTAGACCGAGGAGGGAACAGTCAGGCATTTGTTTGCCGGGAGGCAGAGCAGTGAGAAGGGGAGCAGTTGCAGATGAGAGGGCCCCAGGGCAGCCTCCTGGAAGGGGGAGCGTAACAGATCTCTCAGGTTAGAAGATGTGTTCAAAAAACAGGGACTCTTAACGGCCTGACCTGGGGAGACTAGAGTTGGCGAAGGAAGGATGGAGCAGAACTTGGAGAACAGTGACTAAGCAGAAGCAGATTTCTCATTTCTAACCTTTTCTGTAGGTTTTTGGTTTGGCAGCCATACCCAGCTGCGCTCAGGGCTTAGTCCTGGCTTTGCACTCAGGGATCACTCCTAGCTCAGAGGACCTTATGTGGTGCTGGAGATCAAACCAGGTCAGCCTTGTGCACGGCAAGGCCCTTAACCCCCGAACTATCTCTCCAGCCCTTCAGTCCATTGGCTTATTAAATCTACCAGGAACTCAGCGGCCAGAGAGCAGGCACTGTATGTGTAACCTCTTGATTTCCTCCTTGAAGGGAGTACAGAATGCAGTAGTTGTGAATATCTACAGTGTAATATGATTTTTCTTTAATAATGTTGAAGAGAATATTGTGGAAAGAATATAGAAGTCGCAGTTAGGATAGAGAAGGGACCACTATGTCAATGATAGTTGGGAATGATCACTCTGGACAAGAACTGAGTGCCAAAAGGAAGTAAAGAGACAAACATAATAACCTTTCAGTATCTGTATTGCAAACCGTAACATCCAAAAGGAAAGAGAAAGAAAGAATGTAGAAATCATGAGCTGGAGAGATAGTACAGAAGGTCAGGCCTTTGCCTTGTCTGTAGCAAACCTGGTTCAGTTTCCTGGTTCAGTTTCCTGGCACTGCATTTGGACCACAGAGCACCTTTGCTGGCCCAATCCCTCACCATGCAAAAAAAAAAAAAAAAAAAAAAAGATAGTGTGGCCTCCATTATTGGTACCAGAAAGAAAATCTGGTAGGTTATAGTAGACACACTAAAAACCTAAACCCCTTTCTGGAAGTGAATTTTTTGTTTTGTTTTTGGGCCACCCCTAGCAGTTCTTAGGGCTTACTTCTGGCTCTGTGCTCAAAGATCGATCCTGGCAGTGCTCAGGGTACCTTATGTGGTGCTGGTGGTCAAACCCAGGCGAGCTGTGCGCAAGGCAAGCACCCTCCCCACTGTACTATCTCTCCAGCCAAAATGGAAATGTTTTTAAGTTGTCTTTTCATTGATGACATCTGTCTCTGCCACACCAGCTCAAGAGGGCACTTAGCTGTTTTTCCCAGTGGAAATTTGTCTTTTTTTTTTTTTGTACAGGGTAAGGATTGTGTGGATTTCCAGTTCATATTACAGGGTGTTTGACATCCCTGGAGCTTTTACCCAATTAAGGCATGTGAATACTTGTGAATAAATACTCATGAATCTTCCTGATCATTGTGATAAGCAGAAATTGTCTTTCCATGTGTCTGGTGGTCCACAGTGGAGCTCTGCTTTCTTAAGGTTCACAGCATCCATAGCTCAATAGAGATAAAATCAAGACTTTTTCCCTTTTTGTCAGGTTACAAAGATGGCAAGGCTGGAGCATTCAGAAGCACTTTGCTGAAGACAAGCGTTAATAAAAAGAATAAAAGACAGAGGAGGCTAAATATCACAAAGAATGCTTGTCATTTCCTATAGTCTAGGATGCTTCCTTGTGGCTTTTCTTCCCTCCTAGGATCAGACTAAGTGACGACAGCTAAGCCCCGACCCTCTGAAATAACCACTAACCACTTTTCTTAGTTTTGATTTCCTGTCCAAGGGTAGTTCGCTCCCAAGATCTTTGTAGCCAGTCTTAGTTGCCAGGTGAAATTTATCATATCCTTGTTAGCATCACCAGAATCACAATTTTTTTTGCATGAAATAATGCTGACATTCTACTATCGAATGAAAAACATGGTTTAAATGTCTCTTCAGCCATTCTTTGGCTTATTACTCCCCACCATACATGTTACTTTTTTCCATCATCAAACTTCATCTTTATGATGAAACTTCCTTTCTGTGTATTCGGCAGTTAAAGAAGCTCTTCCAGAGATGGGTTTTATGAACCAGCTAGCTTGTCATCTGGAATTGCTTAATTGTTGCAAACTCTTCATTTCCACAGTGATGACTAAACTCTCCCCTTCTGTCTCTGCGTGTTTTAGGGGCTCTTGCTGTTGTTATAGAAGTAGCCAACCACGCCAATGACACCATGAAGCAAGGGGTATGTATCTCGATTTTAGTGACTGACGTATTGATGAATACAGGAATCCAGAATTTCATATGCTTGGTCTTTTCCCTGTGTAGGACAACTTTCAGAAACTTATGCAAATTCAGTACAGTTTGAATGGACACCATGAAATAGTACAGCCAGGACGGGTAAGCACTTTAGATCTCCTTTTGCACATTTCATGCAATCCATTATTATCTCTTTTATTTCACTTATGAACATAAGTTATGCACTATTCTTAACTCTGCACTCACCCAGTCTCCCTCAACTAAGTTCGTCGTAGCCGTTCCAGACATTCATGATTTAAGTCACTGTGACAAGATGCCCAATTCAATTAGGACACTGGTAGGGGCCCCCACAGAGTATCTGATGAAATGGAATCATTTTATTGTGTCATATGAGCTGACCTCCCACAGTTTTAAAGACAGTCCTAGTTAAAATCTTTAATGCAGGAGAGGATTATGAAGGGACAAGAAAATTGGCATTTCGATGTGCCTCATAGAATCCAAAAGTAGCTGAGTGGAATGAATTCAGGAAAATTACACAATGCAGTTGTCAGAACATTGGCTATGCTTCAGGGTCAAGTACACGCTCGGTCAATTTCATTTTAGACCACATAATACCCCTGGGACCAATATTGGATTTATGAAATAGCTGGCTTGTCCAATTCCTAAATTATTTATTTATGGGTATGAAACAAATCCGTGACTGCTTTAAAAAATTACACAAATACTAATGATGTCTATCTGCTCAGGTTGTCCGCCCTCCCCCCACCCCCTGACACAACACACACACACACACACACACACATACACACACACACACACAAATTCTGGGGGAGAAAAGGAGAAAAAAAAGGATAATATATGAATATTGCGATCATTTTATGTTGGGAGGAATAAATGGATGTTTTTTTGAATGAATTAGATTTTTCTCAAAGAAGGAACTCTGATGAAGCTCTCTCGGAAAGACATGCAGCCTCGAATGTTTTTCTTGGTAAGTCATCTCGTGGTTCTGATGCGGTGGAGGTGTGGATAATTGATTAATGGAAGGGGCATTTGGGCATGACAGGCAAGTTTGGCATCCCCAAATAGCAGTTTTTGGCTATATTACTCATTTTCATTTCAACTAGCGGAAACAAAGTCTTCTCTGATACCTAACCAAAGAATTATTTACTTTAGTTTTTTGTCTTTGGTTTTGTGTTTTTAGGTTTTTGGGGGGCCACACCCAGTGGTGCTCAGGACTTTTTCCAGACTCTGTGCTGGAATCACTTCTGGCAGGGCTTGGGGTATCATATGTGGTGCTGGGAATCACACAGAGGTTGGTTGTGTACAAGGCAAGCACTGTAGTGTCGTTCCAGCCCTAGTTCCCTTTTCAAATTTAGTTTTATTACATTTTTTCCCCTTTATTTTTTTTTTTTACAGTTGTAGATTTACAATTTTTTGTGCTTGGGTTTCGATTATACAATGATCAGATACCCATCCCTCCACCAGTGCCCATTTTCCACCACCATGGATAATATCCCCCCACCCCCATCCCCCCATCCCCCCTGTCTCTGTGGCAGGGCAATCCCCTGTGTTTTATTACATTTTTAATTTAGAATTATTGGTTTAATCAGATAGGCAGATTGTGATGCATTGGTGGGATTTTAGAATGCAGAAAATAATAATTCTGGGGCCAAAGTACTGGTACAGTGTGTAGGGAGCTTGCCTTGCACGCGGCTGACTTGGGTTCAATCCCAGCACCTCTTAAGGAATAATTTCTGAGCCCAGAACCAGAAGGAATCCCTGAGCATTGCCAGATGGGTTAACCCCTCCCCCACCCTACCCCCCAAAAAAACAGTAACTTTCAGAAAACTGAAAAAAATAGCATGTTTTCTGCAAATTGCTTTTTAATTAATAACCTAATAAGACATGTATCATTTAGAGTTTCCTGCATCTAAATTTGGGATGTATACTTTTTTTCCTTTACTTTGTGGGGTACTCTCCTTTCTGGAGAAGCCTGTGTCTCTTGAGCATGTTAAGTCTCCCCCACCACTTTCTCTCCTGTTCTCTTCCCCCATCTTGCCCCCTTGCCATGTTCCCCTAAATACAACTTAAAAATGTTACTTAAAAATGTTAATATTAGAGATGTGCTCGCTTCGGCAGCACATATACTAAAATTGGAATGATACAGAGAAGATTAGCATGGCTCCTGCGTAGGGATGACACGCAAATTTGTGAAGCGTTCCATATTTTTGGGATGGGTATTTGATCATTGTATAATTGAAATCCAAGCACAAAAATTTGTAAGTCTACAATTGTACCTCATGGTGTCTCACTAATAAAAATTTTTAAAAAATGTTAATATTATAGACCAGAGAGATAGTTAGGGGTAAAGGCTCTTGCTTTGCATATGGACCACCCAATTTGAATGCCTGCCATGGCATATGGTCCTCAGGAGTGACCCCTGAACACAGAGCCAAGAGTAAGCTCTGACTGCTGCCAAGTATGACCCCCAAGCAAACAAATAGTAATAAAAATATTCTAATAAAACATTCTAGATTGGGTTTAAAATTCTTGGTTCTGTGCCAGAACAATAGGGGAGGGCGTTTGCTTTACACACATTCAACCTGGGTTCAATTCCCAGCATCCCATATGGTCCTCCGAGCACTGCTAGGAGTAATTGCTGAGTGCAGAGCCAGTAGTAACCCTTGGGCATTGCCCGGTATGACCCAAAAAGCCAAAGATATTAAAATAAAATCTCTGGCTCATGGACTGGTGCCAGGAAGTCTGATGGCATAAACAGCTGGTAAACCACCATCTACCACTGTGGTTATTTACTGCCAGTCCTTGCACTGGTGATCAGACAAGTTCTGGTCCTCAGGTAGAGGACAGCGAGTAGGGCACTTGTCTTGAACACAGCCAACCTGGGTTTGATCCCTGGCACCCCATAAATTCCTCCGAGCCCCACTAGGAGTGATCCCTGAGCTGGGAGCCAGAGCTGGAAGTAAGACTTGAACACCACAGGGTGTGCCTCACCCCCCACTCGCCGCCGTCCCCAACCCTTTAAATGTTGAAAAGCAGTGTTCTGGGTGGTTCTAGATTATATTAGCAGAACCTAAGTCTTCTATTCAGGAAGCTGTTAACAAAGGGGTAGCATTTTCCTTTTATCCTTGTATCTTATCAGTACTTTGTAACTGAAGTTTATTTCCTTCCTTTGTCTGCTGAAATCTTTCAGTTCAACGATGCTCTGTTGTATACAACACCAGTACAGTCGGGGATGTATAAACTCAACAACATGCTCTCATTGGCAGGAATGAAGGTCTGTGCATCTGTTCAATTTTTTTTTTCCCTTCCCAAGTATGTTTAGAGAGAAACCCTAAAATAATTATTTTCTCACATCCTTAATTTTCCTCTGTTCACATGTTACTCATTAGGCATCTGTTTATTCATGTGGTCATCTGGTCACTCCTTTATGAATTTATTCATGGGATATTTACTGGAAATTTTCATAAACAAAGTATGCTAGTAGGTTTGATGGAAAATGATAAAATGGATTAAAGACTGTTTCTTTTGCTTTTTCCTTTTTCTTCCCCCCAAAGGGGAGGGCTTCCAGTGGTGGGGGATCAGGAACAGGAAGATCATCAGCAGTATTTACTCTGCTAACTGGCCCAAGTACTTCAGTGCTTGGACCTGGGGATATAGCCCTTTTGGGAGCCAGAGGGGAGAGGAGGGGAGAGAGGATGGGGAGAGAGGTAGACATGAGCTACCAGGGCATGGGATAGCAGGGATCGGACTCAAGGCCTTGTGCATATGATGCTTTACTCCAGCCCTTAGAGCAATCTCCCCCGCTCCTGAGCATAATTCTTTGTGTCTACCCCTACTCTAGTCCCTACTGACCTTAGCAGCTAGCTGAGAAGGTAATATAGTACATGAAACGATGTACACGTACAGAAAGTTGTGGGCTGGAGCGATAGCACAGGAGGTAGGGCATTTGTCTTGCACACGGCCACCCTGGTTCAATTCCTCTGTCCCTCTCGGAGAGCCCAGCAAGCTACCAAGAGTATCCCGCCCACATGGCAAAGCCTGGCAAGCTCCCCGTGGCATATTTGCTATGCCAAAAACAGTAACAACAAGTCTCACGGTGGAGACGATACTGGTGCCCGCTCAAGCAAATCGATGAACAACGGGAGGACAGTGCTACAGTGATACAGAAAGTTGGAAGGCATGGGTCATGCAGTAAAGAATACATCGTTTTGGTGAGACATGATGGAGGAATTGGTGGAAGCTAGGAAAGAGGGAGAGGTGAGGAAATCTTTGTGGAGGGACAGTCAAGAGCCTCACAGGACAGGTCATACCCAGCCACACTGAGGCATGGAGGAAGCAATCCAGGAGAGGGACGAGAGAGCACAGGCCTGACGTGATTATTTAAACCTGATCAGCACCTAGAGAGGATGAGGGTGCTGGAGAGCTAAGTTTGGTGGCTGGTGGCTGGAGCTAGGGGAGCTGTGCTGGAGAGATGAGATTTTGCAGCCGGTGCTTCTGCTCAGATTGCTCTGCTTCCTTCCAGGTCAGAAAACCCACTCAAGAAGCATATCAGAATGAACTCAAGATCGAAAGTGTGGAGCGTTCCTTTATCCTATCTGCCAGGTAACTGTAGAAGTGGGGGTGGGACCATACCTGGATGTGCTCATGGACACCCCCCACCCCCACCCTAGTGCTGTGCTTGGGGATTGCTCCTGGTTATGCTCAGGGGCCCATGTGATACCAGTTATCGTCTGGTAACTGGTAAGTGGGTCTCCTTCGTGCCAAGCAAGCACTTAGCCCTTTCAGTTCTTCTTTTAGTCCCCACCAGGTGACTTTTTGTGTAGCTGAACCTTTGCCAATATGACTAAACAAAACATCAACAGGAATCTTTACATTTTGTTAAGTACTAGATTTACTTTTCCTTTCTTTTCTTCCCCATTGTCATGAGTTTACTTGATTAACCAGGCAAGTAAAATGGCTGAGTGCTAATGCTATAGTGTGTCAAAAGCACAAAGATAAAAATGTACTCCTGGGGGCTGGGGATATAGTCCAAGGATTAAGGCACTTAACTTGCATACAACTGGCTCTGTTCAATTCCTAGCATCACACATGGTCCTGAGCAGCACTAAGAGTGATTCCTGAGCACCACAGAAAAACTAGAATAATAACGTAAAATAATGGGCTGGAGCGATAGCACAGCGGTAGGGCGTTTGCCTTGCATGCAGCCAACATGGCCGACCCGAGTTCGATTCCTCCGCCCCTCTCGGAGAGCCCGGCAAGCTACCAAGAGTATCTCGCCTGCACGGCAGAGCCTGGCAAGCTCCCCGTGACATATTCGATATGCCAGACACAGTAACAACAAAGTCTCCAATGGAGACGTTACTGGGCCCGCTCGAGCAAATCGATGATCAACGGGAGGGCCTTTACCTTTAATGATCGTTTTACTAATCTTTCTTTAAAGTTAGTATTTCAGATCTTTCACAGTGACGTGCGTTTTTAAATTATTTTATTTTTATAAAGTTGTTCACAATAATTCAGTACATTTAATAGTCAAACACCAATCCCACCACCATTGCACCTTCCTACCACCATTGCATCAACATATTTTGAATGTTTCCACCCCAAGTTCCAAACAGTACCCCCAAAGCAGAATGAAAATAACTAATTTTGTGTAGAGGAAAGTGTGTGGAGATTGTTGTATTGCCTTCTCCTTTAAACCACATCAAATGTAGTTTGCTATTCTTGGTACATTAGTGGTGTAGAGTATGAAATGTCATGCGGCCGCGAATGCAGTTTCACTCATGGGTGAGGCTCATTCGAGCCTGTGAGCATTGCGGTGATTGAGTTCTGGAGGTTTTCGGCTGCCAGGGTTCTGTTGATGTAGGGAGGGGAACTCGCCCGCCAACCTCCGGGTTGCCCCAGATGAGACAGCCTGACGCAGAGTCTGGAGGCATCTCTGTGGCGTGTAGTTCAGTGACCTGCATTTTTATACCTTTTTCTTCTTTAAATTTCTAGCCCCTCTCCCATTCCCTTAGTGTGGATTTAGCGGTCATTTTGATGATGGATTGGGTGCACACACACCTGACTCTGATGTTTTCCCCTTTTTCACATCAGGTTGTGGACCTGGTGCTCCCCAAGGTTTGCACCCCTTTATTTTATTTATTTATTTATTTTGCTTTCTGGGTCACACCTGGCAATGCACAGGGATTACTCCTGCCCTGCACTGAGGAGTTACTCCTGGCGGTGCTCAGGAGACCATATGGGATGCTGGGAATCGAACCTGGGTCGACTGCGTGCAAGGCAAATGCCCTACCCACTGTGCTATCTCTCCAGCCCCCCTGCACCCCTTTAGTTGTGGTGCTTACACATGTGCACTCTTGGACTCCGCCCCGTAGTAAAGACATGTGACTTAGGGTTGTGGTGCTCACCAGGAGTTGCTGGCCTTCTTAAACACATACTTGCTGGTGTGGTGTTTGCACCTAGTTGTGGTGTGAACATAGAGAATAAGAGGGAAAGTGACACAAAATCAGCTTGGAGGGACACGGGAGACGGTTTTGCAGAACCGCGGTGTGCATTTTTAGTCTTAAACCTATAAACCACAGGAAAGCACTGCAAGGTTTGTAAAAGGCAACGATGTGATCTGATTTGTATTTTTTTATTGGTTTGTGTTTTTTGTTTTTTTGCTACAACCTTGCTCTGCACTCAGGTATCACTCCTGGCGGTGCTCAGGGGACCATATGGGATGCTAGAAATCGAACCCAGGTTGGCTACATGCAAGGCAAATGCCCCACCCTATTGTTCCAGCCTCTGATTTGTACATCTGTTATTGTTGTTTGGGGGCCGCACCTAACAGTGGTTGGGCTATTGCCAGTTCTGTGCTTAGGGATTGTCCCAGCAGTGCTCAAGGACCATGTGGTACTGAGAATTGAACCCTGGGTTCAATTCTTTTATGCAAAACCTGCTTTGCATGGGCTCAACCCATTGAACCCTGCTTCTAACCCAGTTAGGTTTTGGGGGTTTTATTTCGAGGGGGAAGGGCCTCACCCAGTGATGCTAAAGGATTACTCTTGGCTCTACACTCAGAAATCACTCCTGATAGTGCTGGGACCATATGGGATGCAGGGGATCAAACCCAGGTTGGCCGCATGCAAGGCAAGCACCCTGCCTGCCGTACTATTTCTCCAGCCCTAATTCTGGTATTTTTTTTCTTTTTTGGGGGGGGAGGCGGTCACACCTGGCGTTGCACAGGGGTTACTCCTGGTTCTGCACTCAGGAATTACTCCTGGTGGTGCTCAGGGAACCATATGGGATTCTGGGAATTGAACCCAGGTCGGCCGCGTGCAAGGCAAACGCCCTACTCGCTGTGCTATTACTCCCCCAAGCCTGGTATTTTTTTTAAAAGAACATCCTCGTTGCTCTATATGGAGAATGTTTTGGGAGAACTAAAGGTGATTCATTGGACATAGGGGTTGACAAAGACCCTGTAAGTGAGTCGGGGCAAAGAAGATGCAGGACGCCCTGTTCTATCCTCAGCACCTCATAGTCTCCAGAGCATTGAGTAAGGAACACCCCCCAACAGCACATCAGTAACCCCTGAGCACCACTGGGTAGGGAAGGATGGCTCAAGAATCGAGCACATACTGTGTGTGCAGGAGGCTTAAGTTCCATCCCTGCACTCATGGTGCCCTGAGTACCTGGACTTAAGTCCCTTCTTCAGCAATAGATCAGGATATGTACCCCCGCACCCCCCACACACACTTCCTAGTGTGACTCAAAATCCAAAAAAGAAAAGAACACTTCTTTAAGCTGGGTTTTGTTTATTGCTTTGATATTTGAGGGGAGGGTCTGGGGGCGGGAGCGGGGCATACCTAGTAGTGCTCAGGCTACTCCTGGTGATGCTTGAGGTGCCCTGGGCGGGAGGAATCAAACCCGATGGCCGGCAGCAAAGCATGTATTGCACCAGCTATTTGAACCATCTCCTTTGTTGCTTTCATTGCTTTTTGACTCTAGGAAAATGTTCATTCATTTTTTTACCATGTTGCAAACCGAGAAGCAGACAGTCTGCTCGCTGCTGCAGGCAGATGTGTGTGGTCTGTGAGAAATGTGTTATCTATAGCTGGGAAACACTCCTTTGGCAGAATCCTCCAGAAAGGAGAGCCAGCAAAGATTAAATGGAAGAAGAGCATATGGGAGAGGATTTGTAGTTGAGTCTTACTGCACAGGCTCCCAGGGCTCCAAGCCTCAATTTAGTTTCTCTGCCTCACTGTTCTCTATCATGTCTTCCGTGGAAGAGTGGAGAGGGATGGGCAGGGCTGATGGTATTTTGAGTGTTCACTTGGAATCCTGGGAATAAGGTCTTCAGAAAACACAAAAGGGAAAGAGAGGACACAGTGGTGAGGAATTCATTTGAGCCTGATCCTCACTCATCATTTAGTTATTCAAAGTGAATAATGCGCACTCAAATCCTTTGTTCCTTATCTGTAAGTGGTGATGGTGAAATGGGGCACATCCAGTACATCTTTTAGGGGGTGGGTCTGACTTTGAGATCTGATGATATTTGCAAAGCATTTAGCACAGCTGGCCGATATGCAGTTACTGTTAAATAAATGACAGCTCATTGTGGCCATCAAGGTAAAGTGTAAGAGGTAACTGCAGCTGTTTGTAAGATGTTAAGAAATAGATGATTTTCCTCTATTAATTTGTTCTTGGGATATAATGACATTTGAGCAATATATGGCTTTGAAGTTTCTTGACAGTTTTCAATTGCAAACTGGATTTCTGTGTTTATATGTCCATATACTACATACCAAAAGGCCACTTAACGCCTCTTATTAGGGAGTTAGATTTCTGAGAATGATTATTGTAGGAAGGAAAATGACTTTATTTTTATGTGTTTGTTTGTTTTGAGGCCATACCCAGCAGTTCTCAGGGCATACTTCTCTCGTTGTACTCAGGATCACTCCTGGCAGACCCTGGGGACCATGTGTGGTGCCAGGGATCAAACCAGGGCTAGCCACGGGCAAGGCAAGCACCTTCTCACTGTACTATCTCTCCAGCCCCAGGAGAATGACTTTTAATAGCTTCTTGATGTGTGTTGAATTCATCAGAATACAATAAACATATCTAGTCCTACTATTTTTATGATGGAAAAAAATTTTAATATTACTTGAAAATGCAAATGTACCTAAAGCTGGTGAATAATACACTAATAATAATAATATTTAATAATATTGAATAATACACTAATAATAATATTTAATAACAATACAATTTTTTTTCACTTTTGTAATGTATTTAAAGCAAATTGCAGGGGGCAGTGGGAGGGGTTGGGGGAGGGATCCTGGAACACTGGTGGTAGAGAATGGGCACTGGTGGAGGCATGGGTACTCAATCATTGTATGACTGAAATGTGAGCACGAAAGTTTGTAAGTCTATAACTGTATCTCATGGTGATTCATTAAACAATTAAAAATAATAATAAAGCAAATTGCAGATATGATACCTATATGGTTCAGTATGCCTGTAAAAAGCAGACACATTTTCTGTGAGTGGAGAAATTGCCCAGTGGACTGCTGCACATGTTTTGCATGCAGGAGGCCTGCAGTTCTGTCCCTGGAACCACAGGGTCCCACAAGCCCCCACAGAAATAACCCTCCTAGCACAGAGGTGGGAATAGCCCTTGACTTACTAGGTGAGTTCCCCAAAACAGTGACACATTTTCTTGCATGATCACATTCCCATTATTATGATAGATTTAATTTGATCTCTCTCTATATATATATACACATGTATATGTTTCCATGTATATACACACATATGATACCACACACATATTATACCCTCTGAAGTATAAAAAAATATGTTATGGCTGAGGAAAGAGCTTAAGAGGCTGTATATTGTATACACCTTAAAAGGGTATATATTGTGCATGAGGACACCCTGGCTTTGAACCCCAGGACCTCATGTGTCCTATGCTAGGGCTGGGGCTCAGAGAGCTGGAGCATATGCTTTACATACTGAAGCCCCAGGTTCTATCCCCAGCACCACATGGGTCCCCCCAGCACTGCCTGGAATAGCCTCTGAGCACCACCAGTGCGTTGCAAAAGTAACAAGCAATATATGTGCTTTGCAGCAGGAAACCTGGGCTTGATCCTCTGTACCACAACATATACGCACAGATATACTCATAATCATCCTGTATTTTGTGTGATACTAGTTATGATACAGTTGCTGGAAAGTTACCAAAAAATGAACAAAAATGCCTTGATTCTGAATAGGCTCTTTGTGGAAATTTGGCTCATTTCCCTTGTGATTTTAATAGCTGCTGACAAACTGGGAGGGTAGCAGGAGAATGTGTGGCGAGTTGAACAGAGAGAGAAGTCCCTTAAAACAATTGTAAGCTATTTCCTTTATTAACCACTCCTTAAGTATCTGTTTATACTGCCAAAATAATGTTTCTCCTTGACCCCACTGCCCCTTCTTCTAGGAAAGTCTAATGATATTTAGCAACTTAAAAACATTTCAGTGCTGTAATTTGGATTTGCAACTTAATTCCTTGGGATATTTTTAAATTCTAGAATGATATCCCAGGAAACTCCTTGTTTCTATAAATAACCATAATTACTAATTGTATGAATGGCCCCTTAAACCAAACAAAACCACAAACTTTTGGAAAGGGGAACAAAAAGCAAATGGCATTTGCTAACATGCTCAGCGCTCTCAAATGCCTGGTGATTTGTGCCTATGAAACGTCAGTTTCTGCCTCTGACTCGCATTGGTGGAGGAAGGTGGAATGTGTTGCCATGGGAGAAGGGAAAGAATGAAGAAAAAGGCAAAGGGAAAGGCTGACATCTGGCTGATGGAATCTCATTTGGCCCCCAACAGTTCTGCCTCGGAAAGAGATGAATGGCTCGAAGCAATTTCCAGGTCAATAGAAGAATATGCCAAGAAAAAAACCACCTTCTGTCCCACTCGGAGTCTTGATGAGGTATTGTCTTTCCATTCCTGTCCCCACCCCCTACCTCCCTCAGTGCACTTCAGTTTTTACCTTAAAGAAACTTTTCCCAGGGAGGTCTAAGAGCAACATCTGTTCCACAGAAGTGGAGGGTGTGTGTGTGTGTGTGTGTGTGTGTGTGTGTGTGTGTGTGTGTGTGTCTAATTCTCAAACTGAATTTCTTACTAAGGCCTCCCTTCAATTTGATAATAGCCTATGAGTGTCTTCATATATTCCCTGGTCCTGAAAACCTCATTGTGGAAATCTTAGCAGAGATAATGTTGTCCACAGCAGGAACTAATTAGCCATCCCTGCATGGCCACGGGCAGCTTCTAAATTCATTTTCGCATCAGAGGATTGAGAGTGTAGCTAATCTTAATGTCCTGAGAACATGCACAGATAATAGCCCCTCTTTTATCCCACATCCTTGATGATACCATCAGCATTGTGAGCCACTGCAGCCAAATGAAAAGCTGAATGCTGGACCACTCAGTGTGCGCAGAGAAAATCAGGACTGTTCGTCTTCTACAGGCTGACGCAGAAAATAAAGAGGAAGTTAGTCCTCTTGGATCAAAGGCTCCCATCTGGATTCCTGATACCCGAGTGACAATGTGTATGATCTGCACAAGTGAATTTACGCTGACCTGGAGAAGGCATCACTGCCGGGCCTGCGGAAAGGTCAGGACGATAACACCAGCTCCATTGTGCTTTTTAATAGCTCCGGGATGTACAGTGAGGAAACTGTAACATATCTACCTCCCCCACTAACCATTGTGTAAAAAGAAAAGTAGATACCCGGTCAGAGATGGTGTTTTGTGTAAATATTTATACAGGGGGCAATCTTGTTAGGGATCAAAGCCCCCTCCTACCTCTAGGCTCCATTGAAATGTCAGTCAAGACAATTTTCACTTAAAAAATGAACAGTCGCCCTGACAGATTCACAATGAAATAGGCACATATAGGCCAGAGAGTTAGTAAGAAGGTAAGGTATTTGCCTTGCATGTGGCCGACCTGGGTTTGAATGCCCTGCACTAAAGGAATCACTCCTGAGCACAGAGCCCAGAGTAGCCCCTGAGCACCACTGGGCGTGGCCCCAACCACCCTCAGTACATAAATAATTTGGGGCTGGAGTGATAGGTGGGAAAGGTGTATGCCTTGGATGGAGCCCACCTGGGTTCGATCCCTGTATCCCATATGGTCCCTCAGCACTACCAGAAGTGATCCTTGAGCACAGAGTCAAGAGGAAGTCCTGAGCATCTAAAACCATTAAAAAAAAAAATCTCATTACACAAATGATTAAGCAGACACATTTACAGTTAGATACTTAAATGACATTTATCTAGGTACTAAGTGCTTAATTAAGGGACTGTGCAATATTGAAGTTATCCTAGAGATTTTTTCTGTGGCTTCATGACCCCATTGGTTATAATAACAATGACCTGGGTGTGTTGGTGCCAAGATTGAGCTAGAGAGTTGTGGAGAGTACTTGAAACAGAGCCACATGATTGGTGAAGGTACAGGGATGGCGGTCGTCATGATTACAGCACCGCTGAGAATAATTGCAACAGTGATGAGAATAAGTGCAACTATTGTGGGACTTGCTGCATCCCAGGCACAATGCTAAGCATTTTCTGTACATGAAATCTTTTTGTATACTGTTTTATGGAGTTAGCACTCAGATTATCATTCGTGGCCTCTTCATCTTCAAATGTGGCATCTTCAAATGTGGTATCATATGTCAGTTAACTCAGTGCCTCAGTTTTACAATTAATATAAAAACTCAATGAATTCATGAAAAGGTTTTGAATAGTCAGCAGCACTGTATAGTGTAACATACCTTAGAGTTTGGTTTTTCTAAATGAAATAATTCCAATGTGTTTTCAGATTGTATGCCAAGCTTGTTCATCAAATAAGTGTGGCTTAGATTACCTGAAAAATCAACCAGCAAGAGTATGTGAACATTGTTTCCAGGAACTACAAAAACTAGGTAATAGTATATAAGTAAAAACTTAACTGGAAATTCCTTTATTCCCCAAATGCTTCCAAACAGCTTTCTGACATACATCTTAGGCACATGAAGAACATGAAGAACATAAGTGATGCTTGGGTGTCAGAGGGATGGTACAGCAGGTAGGGCATTTGCCTTGCACACTCCCAACCTGGGTTCAATCCCAGCACCCTGTATGGTTTCCTGGACCTGCCAGGAGTGATCACTAAGAGCCAGGAGTAAGACCTGAGCACCACCAAGTGTGGACCAGTCTACCCCACCAAAAAAATTGGTGAAGCTCATCTCAAATGCTATGTATTATTCTTTATTAACTTTTCTTTCTTTTGGAGACAATTTCAGGAGAGGTTGGATTGAATTAATTTTACTCTGAAAATTATTTTGCTTAGAAAATACATTAAGGGGGCTGGAGCGATAGCACAGCAGGTAGGGCATTTGCCTTGCACTCAACCAACCCAGGTTCGATTCCTAGCATCCCATATGGTCCCCTGAGCACCACCAGGGGTAATTCTTGAGTACAGAGCCAGGAGTGACCCCTGCTCATCACTGGGTGTGACCCAAAAAGAAAAAAAAATACATTGAGGGGCCAGGGTAATAGCACGGCAGGTAGGGCATTTGCTTTTGCAGCCCGGGTTTGAGCTGCAGCATCTCCCCTGAGCAATGTCAGGAGTGATTCCTGAGTGCAGAGCCAGGAATGTGTGACCCAAAAAGAAAAAAAAAGAGAAAGAAAGAAAAGAAATCAAGATACTTAGGAAGATAGCTCAAAACTCAAATGCGGGAGCTGGAGAAATAGCACAGCGGGTAGGGCGTTTGCCTTTCACGCGTCCGACCTGCGTTTGATTCCCAGCATTCCATGGTCCCTTGGGCACCGTCAGGAGTAACTTCTGAGTGCAGAGCCAGGAGTAACCCCTGTGCATAGCTGGGTGTGACCCAAAAAGCAAAAAAAAAAACCTCGAGTGCATGCCTTGCAAAAGGTATGCCCTGACTTTGATCAGCACCACAGGGTTTAGAGGTAACCTTGTCGATTATCTCAGTGAGGCCCAGTCTCACCTGAATCCTGCTTAGGAGTGCGCGCGCACACATACACACACACACACACACACACACACACACACACACACAAAAACATTTAAAACAAAAAGAAAACAATTTGAAGAAATGTAATTAATAGGGTTAAATTTAATGCTGAAAATAGCTATAAAAGAGGGCCAAAAAGATGGCTTAATGGACTGGATGCAGGCTTTACATGCCAGAGGCCAGAATTTGATCCTGAGCACAGAGCTAAGAGTAACCTCTGAGCACTGTTGGATGTGATCCAGAAACCAACAAAATGGCTATAAAAGAAATCCAACTTTCAGTATCCTTGAAGGCTTTAGTTTCACAATGACATCACTGGGAATAACCCTCCCCCCATCCCCCAAGTATAAAATACAGTGCCATGAGATGAATACAGTTAGCAGGACTACTCAGTATGTATTTGGGGAAGAGATTTTTTTGACTTGTTTTTGGTTTGGATTTTTGACCACACCCGGCTGTGCTAGGAGGCTATTCCCAATTTGGCTTGAAAGTTGCTCCTCGCAGTGCTAAGGGACCATGCAGTACCTGGGATCTAACCTAGGACCCCACGCATGCAAGGTAAATGCTCTATTGCTGAGCAATGTCCACAGTTGAGAAGAGATCTTCGGCTAAATCCTGAATCCTATAGGATTTAAATTTTCATCAGCAAATGGTAGTATATAAGTGAATAAAATTAGATGGCATCCTATTTCAGAATCCGTGAACATAACAAGTTGTTATTGTCGGTATACATTTTTCAATAACATCCTCCTCTTCCTTTGCCAACCTTTATGTCCCCCATCCCTCTTTTTTTTTTCTTTAGAGTGGGGGTTTACACCCAAAAGTGCTTAGGGATTACTCCTGGCTATGAGCTCAGAGATACCTCCTGGCAGGGCTTGGAGGGACCATATGTGATGTCAGGGAGTGAACCTACATAGGTCCTGTGAAGGAAAGCACCCCACCCACTGAACTATCTCTCCAAGTCCTGCTCTTCAAACAACATTCATCATAGCGTTTTTGGAGGCAGGCAGGGGTCCAGCCAGTAGTGCTTGGGCACCACTAGGGCCTTATCTGACTTTGCTCAGGAGGCCATGTGGGGCCTCAAGAATGCAAGGCATGCCCCCCACCCACTCCTGTGAGTTCTCCCTCTGCTCCTCAGCACCTCGGCATTCATCTTTGAATAAATCCACATCCTTTAGGTCTATAAATCATGTCAAATATATCTTTGAAAGCCTGTTTTTGTCTTGATTTCTTCTCCTCAGTCCTCATGATACTTCATTATCACTCATCTTGTTTGTTCTAATAATCTTTCTAACAAATTTTTTCTTCTTTGTATTACTATATTTACTTTCTCTAAGTTCAGATTTCACTCCCTGCCTTTCCTCCCCCCCCACCCCCGTTGGCATGAATTGAATCCAGAACCTCACACATGCCCTGTTTTCTTTTCTTTTCATTCTTTTCTGTTCTTTTCTTTTTTGGTCCATATCCAGTGATGCTTTGGAATAACACCTGGCTCTGCACTCAGAAATCACCCCTGGTGGGCTCTGGGGACCATATGGGATGCTGGGGATCAAATCTGGGTTAGTTGTGTTCAAGGCAAGTGCCTTACCTGCTGTACTATCTCTCCTACCCCCCTTTATTTTGGGTGAGTGGGGGGCACGGGGAGGGCATACCCAGCTATACTCAGAGGTTATTCCTGGCTCTGTACTCAGGGATCACTCCTGGACGGTCTGGGGATGTTATATTGGTTTCTAGGAATTGAATACGGGTCAGTCACATGCAGGGTAAGTGCCCTACTCACTGTACTATAGCTCCAGCTCCAAAGAAATGTGTGTGTTTTTTTGTTTGTTTTGTTTTGTTTTTGGTCACAACCAGTGGGGCTCAGGACTAATTCCTGGCTCTGTGCTCAGGAGTCACTCCCGGCTGTTCTTGGGGAACCATATGTGGTACAAGTGATCAAACCCAAGTCTGTTTTATGCAAGGCAAGTACCCTACACACTATATCTTCATCCCTCAAATTGTTTTTGTTTTGGAACCGCACCTGGCAGTGCTCAGGGCCTGTTCTTGGCTGTGTACTCAGAAATCATTCCTGGTGGGCTTGAGAAACTATAATGGGGAGAAAATGATCAAACCTAGTTCAGCTGTGTGCAAGGCAAGTGCCTTAACCATTGTACCATCTCTTTGGTCCCTACTTTCCCAAATTCCATCTGCTCATGTTACACTCAGCTCCCAAAGCCTTTGCCTAAACAGTCCTGGTTCCTTAGCAACAATCTTTTTTCCAAACCTTGTTATTCTCTAAATAGACAATGGATTTTTATACATCTCAGTTTTGCTTTTGCTGCCCTTTCTTTGTGAGTTGTTCTTCCTCCTCTTTTTTCTCACTTGGCAGATTCCTGCTATACCCTAATTGCCAGCCCGATGCCTTTCTCTCTTACAAGCTTTCTCTGAATCTCTGCAGTGAAATTAATTGCTTCTTCTTCTTCTCCAATAGCATTTTTCCTAGTGTTGTGTTCATTATATCTTGATATTAACCAATGTTCTCAGATTTTTTTTAATTAAGGAGAAAAGGTTTTATGTTCATTTGTCTGTTTTCTTTCATTTTAAGGTATGCCTTAACATTTCAAAATGAAAGGGAGTTAGTGGAGAGATAGTATAGGGGTTAAGATGCTTGACTTGCTGCCTACCAATCACATTTTGATTCCTGGCAGCACCTCTGGTCCTCCAACCACCATCAGAGTGATCCCTGAGCACAACTAGGAGTAGCCTCAGAGAAGACAGGGACAGAAAGAGAAATGAAAGCCTAGAACAAAAGTGGGCCATTTGATTTGTTTTTAACAGTTGAAAAAGTGTAAAGCTAGGGATATGGTTCAGTATAAAGCTATAGCCTTGCATGTATTAAGACCTGATTGGATCCCTGGAAACACGTGAAACAAAAGAAAAATAAAATGTTAAGTCATAGATAGTGTATTCTCCCATGGACATTTTATGCAACAATGCTTATTGACTTGAATTAAACCTAATTGCAGACTGTCTGCTCTTGGTCACATGAGTGTATTTGGTTCGTTTTAGATCACCAGCACTCTCCTAAGATCGGATCTCCTGGAAATCACAAATCACCTTCCAGTGCCTTATCATCAGTCTTACACAGCATTCCATCAGGGAGGAAACAGAAAAAAATCCCCGCTGCTCTCAAAGAAGTAAGTGGTTCCATTGGACTTGCAACCTGATAGAGTCTGAATTAATCATATCCACAGAATACAATTTTTCTTTCATAGAGAAAGATGTCTTTTCCCACTAACTACGAAAACGTATGTTTTCTTTGGTACTGGATGAAGTTGATGTCATATGAAAAATGGTTGTTGGAGCAAGAAAGATAGTATAGGAGATAAGGAGATAAGGTCTCTGCATTGCCTTGCATGCAGAGACCCTGGTTCATATTCCCAGCACATATGGTCTCCTGAGCACCACTAAGTCACTCTTGAACACTGAGTCAGGAAGAGCCCCCCAATACCACTGGATATGGCCCAAACACAACCCCAACCCCAAAGAAAATAAATATTGTTGGGGTCAAAGAAATAGTAGAGGGGTAAGGCACTTGCCTTGCATGAGACTATCCTGGTGTAATCCCTGGCACCGTATGGTTGCTTCTGAGCCTCAAAATGCAACCCTGGAGGACTTGGCACACTACCAGTGTAGCCTGGGCAGTCCCCAGCATGAAAAGGCCTAAGCACTACCACATCTTTGGCCCTTCCATTGAACCACCAGCCTGGTTGGCGCCAGGGTCCCTGGGAGGGTTCTCCAGGCCTCCTGAGCACTGCTTAGGATACAAATACTGGTCCCCCTACCCCTGCCTTACACCTGCCACATACACAGACCCCAAATAAAGATTGTTGGAAGATTAGGAGACCATACTCTAGGCTGATAGAAAACAAAGTTAATGTGAATGTGTATAATTTTTAAATAATTTTCAGAAGACCCATTATTCTCAATGAGAAGACGTCTATATAATATTCAGGCATCTTACAGGCATTTATCTGTAGGTATTGATTTACTTGTAGGTGTTGGTTGGTTTTATATAGCTGATATCATAGGCTTTTCCTTTAAACTTAAACAGAATATATTTTGTGGAGGAGGGGTGTGGTCAGAGAAGTAGTACAGAGGTAGTGCACTTGCTTTCATGCAGCTGACCTGGGACCCCACATGGTCTCCTGAGCATCACCAGGAATGATCCCTGAGAGCAGAGCCAGTAGTAAACCCTGAGTACCACCAGTTTGGCCCAAAATAATTTTTTTTTTGAAAAAGCACTCAATAAGTTGATCAAGATGATGTTTCTTATGTGAAGGTGAGTGTATTCTATCATGACAGTTAAAATAATAGAAAAGGATTTATAGCCAATTGTATGATATAATAAGAATCTGAGGGGCCCGAGAAACAGCACAAAGGGCTAAACAAAGTTTTCCATGTGTGAGGCCCAGTTTTGATTCCCATTACTACATGATCCCCCAAACACAGAGTTAGGATTCAGCCCTGCACACCATCAGGTATACCCAAAAAAAAACAAAAGAATGTTTCTATTGGATTCATCAATAGACTCTAATTTCTAATTGCTAAGTTTCATATGAAAGTGATTCATTTAAATTGTTGAATATCTTTGATATCACTATGCTACAGATGAATTTGAATCTGCATTTAAAAAGTTAAGCTGGGACTGGATCAATAGTACAACAGGTAGGGCATTTGCCTTGCATGAGACCAACCCAGGTTTGATCCCCAGCATCCTGTATGGTCCCTGGAGCACTACCAGGAGTAATTCCTGAACATCACCAGGTGTGAACCAAAAAGCAATAAATAAATAAAACAGTACTTTCAATGGATAGACCAGCTGGCCTGGAAGAGTTGGGGAGGAGGTGGGGTGGAATGAAAAGAAAACAGTTAAGCTTCTTAATCAACTGAAATAATTTTCTGTAATTTTTTTGCTTCTACACGTGGGTACCACACTTTCTAAAGTAATTCTTAGATTTGCTCCTCTCTTTAGTCTGAACTCTACAGCCTTATAAAATTCTTCATAGTGTAGACCACTAGTCTTCATCCACAAGGTCATGGGCTGCTGTGAGTCTGCAGGTATAGGAAGGTTGTGTAAATTATTGGTCCACTGCCTTGGTTTTAAATCTTGGTCTGTGGACTATTGTGCATGTGCTGGTCTGCAGGTGTCAAAAGGTTAAAGAACACTGATCTATCTAAACCGATGGGTTTTTGAAGTAATAAAATTTATATACAAGTGGTACTACACGGAAAGTATCATGCTAAGGGAAATGAGTCAGAAAGAGAGGGACAGACATAGAAAGATTGCATTCATCTGGGGAACATAAAGTAACAAAATAGGAGACTAACACCCAAGAATAGCCAAGATAAGTACCAGAAGGTTTACTCCATGGCTTGGAGGCCAGCTGCATATGCTAGGGGAAAAGGCAGCTCAGATAGAGAAGGGAGCACCAAATAAGGGGTGTTGGGAGAATCCTTCCAGGATGGGAGATGCATGCTGAAAGTGGACTATAGACCTAACATGATTGCCAATCAATGTCTCTTTTTCAAACCACAGCACCCAAAAGGAGAGAGAGAACAAAAGGGAATGCCCTCCCACAGAGGCAGGGTGGGATAGGGGGATGGGGGGTGGGAGGGATACCGGGATCAGTGGTGGTAGAGAATGGGCACTGGTGGAGGGATGGGTACTCGATCATTGTATAACTGAAAACCAAGCACAAAAATTTGTAAGTCTACAACTGTACCTCATGGTGTTTCACTAATAAAAATTTTTAAAAAAATTTAAAAATAAATAAATAAACCGGTGGGTTTTAATCACCAGTGCTAGTCCACAGATGCTAAAAGGTTGAAAACCGCTGGTTCTAGATGAAACTCGGCATCTCACCAATCCTGGTGTGTCCATCTCCCACATTCAAACCATTTCCAAATGTCTTCAGTCATGGGGCTGGAGAAATAATAGGGTTAAGGCACTTGGCTCAAGTGCTGCTTATCCTGATTCAAATCCCCAGCACCACATATGGTCCAGCAAGCACTGCCAGAGATCACTCTAGAGCACAAAGTTAGGAGTAAGCCCTGAGCACTCACTGTGTGACATTGTATGGCAAAAAAAAAAAAAAAATCAGAATGCAGTCATTTCTTCCTTCTCTCCACTGGTCCTCCAGATCAGAAACATCAGCATCATATGGGAGCTTACTAGAAATGTAAATTCCACGGAATTGAGGGATGTAGTCTAACATAGAGTTTCTGCCTTGCATGCCTAAGGCTGCCTCATCTCTCCAAGAAAACAAAAAATAGGGGCCTGGAGTGATATTACAGTGGGTAGAGTGTTTGCCTTGCACGAGGCCTACCCAGGTTCTATTCCCAGCATCCCACATGGTCCCCTGAGCACCGCCAGGAGTAATTCCTGAGTGCAGAGTCAGGAATAACCCTTGTGTATCACTGGGTATGACCCCCCAAAAAAGAAAAACAAAACAAAAATAAAATGCTAGAAATACAAATTCTTTACCTCATCGTAAGTCTGCAGAATCAGAAGTTTTAATAAGCACTCTGGGTAATTCAGCTGTCTCCTGAATTTGAGACCCACTATTTTTCTTCTTTGCCAGGAAGTTAATTTATCCAGTTAAGTATTGTCAAAGTATTCTCTTCATGGAGATGTGGTTATTTGTTTGTTTTTATGAGGTGCTATTCACATAATATATACTTAGCCATTTTAAAGTATAATTTAGCAGTATTTAATGTATTCACAATATTGTGTAACCATGATTCTAGTTTCAAAATATTTCATCATTCCATAAGAACATCCTGTACCTATTAAGTAATTAGTCCCCATTCCCTTCTTCTCCACCCTCTGGTAACCACTAATCTGCTTTCTTTTTCTATGTTGTTGTCTGTGTAGAGAGACAGTATTATATAATAGGATGCTCATTAGGGTTACCTTTTTTGTCTGGATTTTTCACTTATTTCACATTAGCACAGTTTTCCAGCTTTATCGAAGTTTCAGCATCTATCAGTGATTTTTTTTCTCTCACCCCCACTTCTTTTTGAGTAAGGAACTAACACCCACCCATGCTCAAGGGAGTTCCTTCCAGTGGTGCTCAGGGCACCAGGCAGTGCTGGAAATCAACCCTGGGCTCCTACATGCCAAACAAGTGTTCCTTTGAATCATTCCCCCACGGATTACTTGTCTTTTTTTTAAGATGGCAGTATTCCATTATGTGTTGCTCCCATCTTTTGACCATGATGAACAGTGCTGCTCTGAACACCCGTGTACAGATATTTCCATTGACAAAATTTTATCACGCCTCAATCCTAGTGTTAGATTTACTTGTCCATAATTCCAACTTGAACATTTTATGGAATGGAAAGTAGCATTCAGTATCATTTTCCAAAACTCTTTATTTTTAGAATTCTTTTCAGAATCTCCGTAGTTCTCAGATAATATCCTTAATAGCAGCAGGCTATAACTCATGAATTTTCATTTGTTTTCTTAAGTGGACAAATCACTGAAAGGGAAGTCTTGTAGAGCACGGATTAAACTTGTTGATGCCAATTTTATTTTTGAATTTTATATTTTATTTTAAAAAGATAATCAAGTGACCAGTGTGATAGTGCAACTGGAAGGAGCATTTGCCTTGCATGTGGCCAACCTGGGTTCAATCTCTAGCACCCCATATGGCCCCCCTGAGCACCATCAGTGGTGATTCCTGAGTGCAAAGCCAGGAATAACTCTCGAGCAGAGCTAGGTATGGCCCAATGCCCGCCAATAATATAATAATAATAATAATATAATAATAATAATAAAAGATATAAAAAGATAGCCAAGGATTATGGATGGCTTTATTTTATGTCAGTGTTGTGGTTTTATTTATCTGTGAAACAAATTAATTCTAAAATATTCCAAAGGAGAACTCTATAAAATATTTTGAGCAAGGACAATAACACCTATATAAAATGCATAGTAGTATCCCCATATAATATTTTATTTTGGTGTTTGGGCCACACCCAGCAGTGCTGAAGGCTTACTCCAGGCTGGGTTTGAGGTACTGAATGTGGTGCTGGAGATCAAACCCTGGTCAGCCATGTACAAGGCAAATGTATAGACACCCTACCCACTATACTATCTCTCTGTGTCCCCATGTAATGACATTTTAAACAAAGTCTCATTAGAATATAGTCTGGTTTTTTTTACAGTTAGTGGTTTTATATATAGATGTATTTATATAGAGATTTACCTGCACCTAAAATTTTTGTTTTGTTTGGGGGCCACACTTGGCAATGTTTAGGGGTTAGTCCTGGCTCTGCACTCAGGAATCACTCCTGGTGGTGCTCAGGGGACCATATGGGATGTCAGGAATGAATTCAGGTTGGTTGTGTACAAGGCAAGTGCTTTACCTGCAGTACTTTCTCTGGCCCCTCTACCCAACAATTTTTTAGCAAAGAAAAATATTTTAGGGGCCAGAGAAATAGTATAGTGGGTAGGGTGTTTGCCTTGCACACAGTGAACCCAGGTTTAATCCAGCATCTCACATGGTCCCCCAACCTGAGCACCACCGGGTATGCTCTCTCTCCCTCCCCACAAATAGTCTTCATTAAGGATTTTTCAATAAGGTACAAAGTCTGAAAAGCTATTTTAAAAACATAGTTAAAGGTTTAAGTAATTTTTCCCTAATACCCTAAAAAAAAGAATAATCAACAATAAAGTAGCTTTTAAAAGGCTTTTTTGGGTCCTTGGAATGATTTTTTTGTATCTTAGCAACCAGAAAACAGGTGAGTCCGCAAGAAACAAAAATGCAAACAAAGTTAAACCAAGTACAAACCCAGAAACACTTCTAAAAGGAAAGGACTTGATGCTTTTTAATAGCATTATCAATCTGAAGAGCACAGTGGTTGGTTCATTGGTTTCCTCAATTCTCAGGCAGTGCTCAGGGACCCCTAGGGCCACCCTCAGTGACACTCAGCCGACCAGCCAGACAGTTCACTGCAAAGACCCAGCAGAGCTGAGGACCACCAGGGCACACCTGGCAGTGCTCCCGGTCTATGTGGTGCCAGGGAATGAACTTGGGTCTTTGCTCATGTAAGGTTTGTACTCTGGGATCCTTCAAATTAACCTAGTGGTTTTCAGTGTTTTATACCTGCAGACCACTAAGGCAGAAACATAAAAATAGTCTTAATTTTGGGTGGGGGTGGGCTTGGGTCACACTGGATTATGCTCAGTACTTCCTCCTTATGCTCAGGGGTCACTCCTGGTGATGCTCACAAGACCATATGGAGTTGAGGGATTGAATAAGGATCAGCCATATGCTGGGCAAGTACCTGGCCTATCTCTCCAGCTCCTAAAAGCCATTCTTTATAGTAAAATATTTAATATATGAGTATTTATAACAGTACAAAATCTAGGTGTTAACCAGCAATTAACTTTTCCTCAGACCAGTCGAAAATTTTTGTGCACTGGCACCAATCCATAGATTGGTGATTAAAAACCACTGCAGTGGCGACTTTGACAATGAAGTTTTCCACTGAAACATTATATTATTATAATCAAGAAGTTTCATTTTTCCCCCCAGTTTTTGAGCCATACCTGTCAATGCTCAGGGGTTACTCCTGGCTCTGCACTCAAGAATCACTCCTGGCTGTGCTCAGGGGACTGTATGGGATGCCAGGGATTGAATTCAGGTTGGCTATGTGCAAGGCAAGTAAGTGCCTTACCTGCTGTACTATCACTCTGGCCACAGTTTAATTATTTTTAATATTTTGTTCGAAAGCTCATGTGTGTGTGGGGGGGGAGGGGGTGTGGAGAAGGGAATGTTTGGACTACTCCCAGCAGTGCTCAGGACTTACTCCTGGCACTGTGCTCAAGGATAATTCCTGGCAGTGCTCAAGGATATGATGTCAGGGATCAAACCAGAGTCAGCCGTATTCACGGCAAACACCTTACCCTTGTACTATCTCACTATCTCACTTTATTTAATCAATTTTAAACATTTAACTATAGGATTTGCTTCTGTAGGTATCAGCAAATACAGAAGATTCTTCTATGAGTGGTTACCTGTACAGAGCAAAGGGCAATAAAAAACCATGGAAACATTTGTGGTTTGTCATAAAAAATAAAGTACTGTATACATATGCTGCCAGTGAGGTAAGATCTGAAATTTGCTGTTTGTATAATTGCAGTGGAAATAATTAAGTTATTTGTCTCATTCCTTTTTTATATACTTTTCACTTGCTTTGCTTTTGGAAGAAGTTGCTCTAATAATGTGAACAATATTTTTGTTTTGTTCCTACATAGTTTTTACCCCAAAAGAGCTTTTACTCAAAAGGGTTAGGAATTTTCTGTAGATTTAAAAATGCAAATATATTTGGTGTCCAATGACTACTAACTTCTTATTTCTTCAAAGGTTCAGAGGTTCAGTTTCTTATTCTTTCTACAAACATGCTCCCTGGGATGATATTTCCTGACTGTTCCTAGGTTGTATGACTCAAGTTTCAGCACAGATCAGATATGCTTTGTTTGGGTTATAAACTTTCACTAACTGTTGGTTCTGGTGCACCCTCTTCGCTCTGATCACCCTGTGTTACAACATCCTAAAAAATTGCTGCTCTTGTGCCCAAGCTTCTCCTTTTGGGGTTGGGGTCAATTACTTCTCTTTCTGAGCTGTTTCTTTCTTTCATCCATAACTTAAAAGGAGTATTTATATCCTTTGGTTTAGTGAAATATAATGTAAACTCAGTGGATGCAAACATAGGGATGCTAACATTATGTCTACCACATAGGGTAGTAGGGGAAGGAGCTGGTAATAAATATTGTCAAATAAAAATGAATAAAAATGAATTATTATAAAGAGTAATTGTTTTATGAGTCCATTTATGGACTAATTTAGAGCTGTATAAATGAGATGTTTGCCAATCTGGATTTTATATTAATTTAAAACCCACCCTCCATTTTTATCTTAAAATTAGGATGTGGCAGCTTTGGAGAGTCAGCCTTTGTTAGGATTCACTGTCACTCAGGTTAAAGATGAGAATTCGGAGCCTAGAGTATTCCAGTTACTGCATAAAAACATGCTATTTTATGTATTCAAAGCAGATGATGCTCACTCGGCTCAAAAGTAAGTGCTTTAAATTCATTTTTCTTTTGTAAATGAGATTTCAAGTTGTTATTTTAAAGGACTGCAGGGGGGCCACTCAGAATTTTAATGGGCTATCTGAATCAGAAAGATCCGATGTGTTATTTGAACTCTTTAGAATTGATTTTACGACAATGCAAGAGCATCTGAAATAGTTTCAGAAGGCAAAAGGGACAAAGAAAATAGGTAGTTCTGTCCAAAATACTTATTTTGTCTTCACATGACCTCTGAGGATGCAGCATGGTGCTGCTCAGTGGGAAGGAAGGGAAGCCAGGCTTCTGACCTCTCCTCCAGGGAGGCTAAGAATCTTCCTTAAAACATTCCAGGACTTTGGCAATCCCATGATTCCATTGTGCCATGCAACAGCAGGAGTTTAAACAGCTGCTGGCTAACTTACTTCTTTGGGAAAAAGGTCAAACACATTATAAGGCTCCCATGCTGTTCCCAGTGACTGAGGAGAAGAAAATGGATATCACTGTTGATAGGAAAGACTAAAACAGTCTCTTCCAAATTCCAACAGGAATTATTTATTTAGATGTCAAGAGACTACTTAACACAGAGCGGCATTTCTTTATGAAATCTAATTCCTTTCTGAATGATTCAGTTCACCTTTCTTTCATTTGATGTTTCCCCATTTTGGCTTCATAAAATATACACTTTTGTTTTCATTACAAGCAACTCATGTTTTCTCAATTGGCTTTTAAAGTCCATGCAGGTAGAAAAGAATGGTTTGAGTAAGCAAGCATGTGCAGATACTACCTCCAGATGTTTTCTGAATCATTGCAGCAGTATTTATTGTCAGAGAAACATACAAGTTTTGGAAAGACTTCTATAGAACTGTGAGATACTGTTATGTTGTATTCAAAATTTTGATCAACTGGGAATAGATTAGATTCTAGATTCCTTTCAATTATAAATAGTGGAACAGACTTAAATATGGAGGTTCAGGGAAATGCTGGTTAATAGAATTGAGATGATAAAAATAGAGCTCCTATTCCTAACACAAGAAAGAGGGTTGAGATAAGAGGCCTTTATAGATATAGTTACTTCCAATTAAATGGGATCACATGAGCCTTTAAGAACTTTTGTTTGTTTGTTTTGGGGCCACACCCAGCAATGCTCAGGACTTACTACTGGCTCTTGCTCTGCATTCAGGGATCTCTTCTGGTGGAGCTTGGGGTGAGGGGGGGTGGGTGGGGGAAAGACAATAGGGGGTATCAGGAATGCAACCTGTTCATCTATGTATAAGGCAAATGCCCTACGTGCTTTACTATCACTCCAGCCTCCTTTTTAGGACTTTTACGTGAAATGGGTCCTTTCTTGAGCCTTATTTAATCCATGCCAGCCAGTTTGGACAAACTGGCAGGCTACCGAATGTAACCTGCCCACACGGCAGAGTCTGGCAAACTCCCCCGTGGCGTACCCAATATGCCAAATACCAGTAACAATGATGGGTCTCATTCTCCTAACTCTGAAAGAGCCTTGAATATGGCACTTTTTAAAAAAATCTCAGGGCTAGGACGAAGGAGACATTACTGGGGCCTGCTCGAGGCAATCGACAAATAACAGGATGGTCGTGATCGTGATCGTGGTTTAATCCATAGGTATTGCTATTATATATGGTGTTTTCACAGGTGTTGGATGATTGCACTGTAACAAATTTCTTTTATCAATAGGTGGATAGAAGCATTTCAAGAAGGCACAGTATTGTAGCAGTATTGGTTTCATCACTTCTATGACTTTAAAAAGGTGAATTTCATCAGAACAGCATAAATGCAGTACAGAAATTTTACAGAAAATGAACACTGCCAAGATAAATTCATCAGAAATCTTCACCAATTTTAAGAAATTATTTTGTTAGGTATAAGGTAATTTTTTAATGTTTGTTTTTTCATGTATGTTATTTATTAAAATTTGTTTACTTAATGGTCAGAATTATTTCCCAGACTCACACTGAATTCTAAAGCTGCCTCTCTTTAGAGATCAGACTGTATTAACTGCCTTGACACCGGCTACACTGTTTTCCCAATGTGTTTTACAGTCTTATACTATAACATTCTCACTAGAAATACACCTTTGTAAATTAAAAAAAAAAAAATCAAAGAACATTCCCATGCAGTGTTTTCATGCAGTTCTTGGTTTAGAAATTATTATTGTAAAACTGCTGATGAAAAAAATGCATGTTTTGAATCAATAAACTTAGATGACTTTTTCTTTAAATGGAAGAACACTTGGCCAATTTCTACCTCAGTAACTGTGAAATGAAATTCTGGTAAACTTTCTAAACCTTTTCTACTGTTATTTATCTCTTTTGCCATGAAATCCTGTTAGATTCATTAGGAAATTACAATAATGGGATAAAATCTGAATTTTGATTTAAGTGATTTCAGAGTAGGAGAGAGGATGTTTTCATTTGCAGAGCAATACGAATAATCAATGTTATGACCTTTGCATTATCTTTTTTCTTAAAATTACCATTTCAACACAGTATATTTTCTTAGAAGCAAAACACGGAAAGCATTATTACATTACATAATACTCTTAAGGGTTCTGAGCCCAAGTTAGATTGGTACTTGTCTCTAAAAATGTTACATTTTTCTATTATACTGTGCTTTAAAAAATAAACTGGAGGGGCTGGAAAGATAGTACTGAAAGCAAGACATTGCCTTGTATATGACTGAGATCCTGGTTTGAATCCCTGGCACCATATGAACTCCTGAGCACCATCTGGGGTCATTCCTGATTACAAAGCCAGGAATAGCTCCTGAGCACTGCTAGGTGTGACCTAAAAAAATAAACTAATAAAAATAAACATAGTCTCACCCTATGGAAAGAGAGCACAAATTCTAAGCCAGTATTAATTCAAAATTATATGTGTTCATTTTTAAAGACCTTAAAATATCATTTTGTACTATATCTTCCCATACAAGTTTTTTTTTAAAGCCTTAATTTCTTTACAAACTATTGGTGTACCTCATTAAGAAAGACTTATATTCTTAACTTTGGTGCATTTATTAACATATGAACTACTTTGTGCATTAAATTATTGATTAGCAGATAAAAATGAGATCAGACTTGTGATTGAGGTCGATCATGTTTTAATATAAATTTATCAATTGAGCTTAAACTAAATATAAAGTACTGCATAGTTTATTAAAGGCTACAAAATTTTTCCTTCTATAAAGGACTTTCTAATTCAGTGTGATAGATAAGATTGCCAAAAGAATTATTGTGTGCTTTTCTGAAGCTTTTGAACACTATTTCTTGCATCCCTAGAATTGGCTACTCAAATACTTGGCTTTTTTTGGTATGGAATCATTTTGGGTTTTGTTTTGTTTCTTAAGGACCACACCAGGTGGTTTGTGGGGCAGGAGGGAGGGGGTTGCGGGTTATCCCCTGCTCTGTGCTCAGGGATTACTCCTGTAAGTGCTCAGGAAACCATGCAGTCCTGGGATCAAACCCAGGAGTCCCCCACCTGTAAAGGATGCACTCTGCCTGTTGAGGTCTCTAAGGCTCCTATGCGATCATTCTGAGCCCTGTGCAACCTCACCAAAATTCCCAGCCTGATTCCTGTAGTCTTTCTGTCACAGTCAGTCGAGGTATACTTCTTGAAACGTGGATGTTTCGAGGTATACTTCTTAAAACGTGGGTGTTTTAGTCAAATCAGTGCTAATAGGTTTACTTGTTAAAACTCCAGCAGTCTCTGAATCTAAAGTATCTTCCTGCTGCTTAGGTGGATCCAGCTTATTTGGAGTTCTTCCCTTCTCCTCTTGAACTCTCATTCTTGACAGCAAAGTTTGGATTCAACCTCAGAATCTTAAAAACTTCTAGTAGTTCTCCTGCTTCAGTGTGATTGTACTAGCTATTGTCTTACATTGTGGAAGATTTTGAAGAATATAAAATAGAACCCTTTGAGGAAGTTACCAGATTATCACCAGTTACCTTAAAAGGGGAATGGTTGTATTACATTCCTTTTCCCCTTTAATGGTCCTTTATGACTTAATACAGCTGATATATTATTTATTTGGCTCAGTGCCAATCAAGAACCCTAACTATATTCATTTAGTTGTAAGGCTTCTGTTTTGCTTTGGCAGTGCTGGGGATAGAACCCAAGACCTTACACACATGTGAAGCATGTGTTCTGCTGAGCCACACTCCCCAGCCTCTGAAGCAAATGGGCATAAAACAAACAAAAAAAAAAATCAACTTGCTCTTTGAGCCCATGTTCTCCCTTAAACAAGTATCTCGGGTACTTGTCTTTCTGTTTCTTTTCTTGTTTTCACACTGGAGAAGCCCGTATTCATTCTTGAACACATTTCCTCTCTTTCTCTCCTCTCATAGCTTTCTTGCTTGAAAAACAAACAAACAAACAAAAAAACTACCTTACTTCACTCATTTAAAAAAAAAATCTCCTGAAGGCTTAAGAGATTATACAGGGGTTAAGGTGTGTACCTTGCATGTGGCTGACCCTGACTCAATCCTGGTTTGATCACCAGCACAGCCTGGTCCCCTATGCACTGGTGGGAGTAACCAGCAACCATGGAACATAGAGCCAGGACCAGCCCTGAGCACTGCAGAGTAAGGTCCCAACCCCTCACCCCTCTGTCCACCACCACCAAATCTGGTGGGTCAGGGTCGTGGCTCAAAGTGGTGGACATACCAAGCCAGGTATGGTATAACACAGGCTCCAGCTTCATCTCCTAGAAGTGTTCCCTCGACCACCCTGACTACCACTTGGTGTGATTCCTATGTAAATAAACAACATGTGGGGGGCTGGAGTGACAGCACTAATGTAATTAAAATACCTGCAACCTGGTTTTTATAAAGCATGATTTTACTTAAAGAATATATATACAATCCAGAGGACTTAAAAATGGATATTTGTTTCTCATAAAATATTTACCCAGTCTTTGTTTGGGGGCTACACCTGGAAGTACTCAGGCTTACTCCTGCTTTGTGCTCAGGGATCACTTCTGGCAGGGCTCAGAGGACCATACACACTGGCAGGGATCATGTGCAAGTCAGATGCCAAATCTGCATCACTACCTAATCCCCACCTTTTTCTTCTTTGTTTGGGGGTAATACCTGGCATTGGACCACCTGCCGTGCCAGGGATCGAACTGGAGCTGGCTGTATGCAAGGCAAGTTAGTACCTTAACCCTGTATTATGACTCTCCAGCCCTACTCTGTCTGCTAAGAAAAAAATGTATGTTCAGTTGTATAATGTTTAGCTGAACAGAAGTATAGAATTCTTGTCTAGATTTCAAACAGCCCCTAAAATGTCCTCCTTAGAACTTAGATCTTCAGGGGCTAGAGCAATAGCACAGGAGGTAGGATGTTTGCCTTGCATGCGGCCAATCCGGGTTTGATTCCCAGCATCCCATATGGTTCCCTGAGCACCACCAGGAGTAATTCCTGAGTGCAAAGCCAGGAGAGTAACCCCTGTGCATCACCGAGTATGACCCAAAAAGCCAAAAAAAAAAAAAAGAAAGAAAGAAAAAGAACTTAGATCTTTAACTCAGTCTCTCCACCTTCCACAAGGTCACAGTCACAACTTTCCTTAGGCATTTTATTTTTAATTTTTTTTAGATGGGGTTCACACCATGGTGCTCTGCGCTTACTTACTCTTATCTCTGCCCTCGGGGATCACTCCTGGTGGGCTCAAGGACCATATGTATATGTGGTGCCAGGAACTGAACCTGGGTATCCTGCCAAAGCAGATGCCCTGCCCTACTTGCTGTCCTATTGCTCCAGTCCTCCCTAAGCATTTTCAACTTTGCATACAAACTTCACTCACTTTCATTTCTTTCAAAACTGTTTATATTCTTCTGTAAGGAAAAAAATACTTTTCCAGTCACCAGAATTTGATCCCATGGCTCAACTAAATTCACCAGTTGGGGTTTTTTTGTTTGTTTTTGTTGTTTATTTTGTTTGTTTGTTTTTCTTTTTGGGTCACACCTGGCAATGAATGCACAGGGGCTACTCCTGGCTCTCAGGAATTACTCCTGGCGGTGCTCGGGAGACCATATGGGATGTTCGGAATTGGAATCGAACCTGTGTTGGCTGCGTGCAAGGCAGCTGCCCTACCTTCTCTCTGTGCTCCAGCCCAGTCACCAGTTGTTCTTGTATCCTTTTTCTCTTGCCATTGTTATGTATAGGCCCTGGTTTAAGTCTCCCCCTTACCTTCTGGTGAATGGAGGAAGGTGTTTCTAAATCTAGTGCATTCTGTGCAGGGCTCCATTGTAAGCACTGCCTGACCTGGCTCTAAAGCTTAGCTCTAATTTCATTCCTGTTCTTTGGAAGCTTCCTCATGACCTAGCATGGAACACTTTTCCATGTGGTCTGGCATGGAACACTTTTTCTTTGGGTAACACCCTAAACTGACCACAGCCTAGTCTTGTTCTGTTCATACAACTTCTTTCCCCATCTCCAACCCGCCAGACACACACCTATTTCTGCCTGTTTAATCCAAGACATCTCTGTGATACAGTAAATCCTAGGTTTTTCTCTCCTGTATGTCTCTACAACAGATCTAGATTCTTCTTCCCATAGGCTTCCCATAGTAGTAGATAGCTACTAACTCCTGAAGAAAATGTTTTATGGTGCTATCCTTTCTATGGTGCTTATCAACTTTCTAGCCTTGAGAACAACTCTCTCTTGTTCTTGGGGGCTGCCCTCCTTGCATTGGGCAGAGTGCCCAGCAAATAGAGAACACTCAGTATTTGTGTGATTGTTACTTTCTATCGGTCCCTTTTAATTTTTTTTTCAGTGCCTCCATATCCAAGGATGCTTAGCCCTTACTCCTGGCTCTATGCTCAGGGATCACTCCTGGTTGGCCTTGGGGGACCATGTTTGGTGTCAAGGATCAAATCTGGGTCCACCGCATATAAGGCGAGCACCTACCCACTGTACTCTCTCCAGCTCTTGTGTCACTTTCGACATTATTTTAAATGAAAATCCTATTTCCCTTTTAAGAAAAATCATTTTTACTAAAAGATAGGATATTTTAAAAGGCTTCAATATCAAATTCTCTTATGGAGGGTGAGGAGGCAGGGATAAAGAGTGACTTTCTTGTGAGTTGGTCATAGCATGTTAAGAATCAATCTTGAAGTACTATTTTCAATTACTTACAATGTATTTCTAGGAGCACTTTTTTACTACAAGTGGTAATAGGTTGTATCTTATTGTCCATATAGATCCTTTATAAATATTAGCATTGTAAAAATGTTTATATGTATGATATTTATACAAAATAAATTTGTTGTATCTACATTTGGTGTACTGGTCTTAATTTTCTTTAGTTCTTGGGCCACACCTGCTGGTGGCAGAGCTCACCCATTACTTTGAGTCTCAGATTTAAAGATGATCCTCACTGAACTGTTTTCCTGACACAGAAAAACAGATTTTCTCTTAATCCTTAAGAGAAAATTCTTCTCACCAACCAAGAAGTTCACAAATTTTGTTTGGGTTTGGGGTCACACCCAGTGGCACTCGGGGACCATTCCTTGCACTATGCTCAGAACCATTCCTCCACTCCTGTCAGGGCTCAGGCGATCATATGTGGTTCTGGAGATTGGCTGTGTGTAAGTACTTCCAAGTTTCAGTAAGGGGGTTTATCATAATTTTAAGTGAACTGGATGGTAAGAGGTAACCACAAGCATTGCCTTGGACATGCATACTATGTCCGAGGACAGAGAAAGAGTCTGAGTGCCTTTTCCCCTTTGGATTCTGTATACTTTATTAGCTTACATCTCTAGGACCAATTTAAGGATATGAGTGGTGACAGGAGAGACTGCCTCATCGTGTCCCCCGCATCCCCCTCCCCCCACAAGTAATCCTAAAATGGAGAGACTTCTAGAAATGAAGTTATAAAGCACATATCCTTCTGTCAGGGTCAGCTGCCTAGTTCCAGAGGAAAATGACAGTCAGATTCTCTTTCTTAGGGCACAATTTGTTTCCACTGACTTGGCTTTCTGGCCTAAATCTGACTGCTTTTCTAGAACACTAAGGGAACTTAAGGACATTTTCCCTTATATCCAAAATAGGTAGTTCTTGACAGAGTTCTTCCTGCTACCTCTCAGTGCCCCAAGAGTTGAGGGGACACTGATTTAACGTGGCCCTCCTTTCTGTCACCACTAATGACCCTCAGCATTGGAATGCCTGCTCAGCCAGAGTTGGCCAAGATCAGAATTTGGGGATCTTGAGTTCTAAGTGATCACAGCCTTGCTTGCTCTACTCCATTTTACCAGTTTACTCCCTGGAGCTGAGAAGGAGGCTCAGGACAAAGGAGGCTGTACCTTAACTATTATCTAGTTAAGGCATTTCACCCCAATTAAAGGAATTTTAATTCTCTAATGTGGCTGGAGCGATAGCACAGCGGGTAGGGCATTTGCATTGCGCTCAGGCTGACCTGGCAGACCAGGATTCGATTCCTCTGCCCCTCTCGGAGGGCCCAGCAAGGTACTGAAAGTATCTTGCCGCAGAGCAAAGCCTGGCAAGCTACCCTTGATGTATTCGATATGCCAAACACAGTAACAAATCTCAATATGCCAAACAGTAACAAATCTCACAATGGAGACGTTGCTGGTGCCCACTCTAGCAAATCGATGAACAATAGGAGGACAGTGCAGTACAGTGGAATGTGGGTTTACACACTGTTATTCCAATAAGGGCAAGGTAAGGTAAAGGCCCTCCCGTTGATCCTCGATTTGCTCGAGTGGGCCCAGTAACGTCTCCATTGGAGACTTTGTTGTTACTGTGTTTGGCATATCGAATACTCTCGGTAGCTTGCCGGGAGAGGGGCGGAGGAATCGAACTCAGGTCGGCCATGTTGGCCGCTTGTAAGGCAAATGCCCTACCGCTGTGCTATCGCTCCAGCCCTTGCTATCGCTCCAATAAACCTTTAAATCCACACCGAAACCTAAGTTACTTTCTTTTTGGGGGGTGGGGGAGGCACACACAGCAATCCTCAGGGATCACTCCTGGTTCTACTCACACTCCTTGGTGGTGCTTGAGGGACCACATGGGATGCGAGGGATCGAACCCAGGCTGCGTGCAAGGCAAACGCCCTCCCCGCTGTGCTATTGCTCCGGTCCAAGAGCCTAAATTACTCTATCTAGTTATTACCACGTGGAAAATTAGGTCGCCAAAACCTGGCAGCATTTGGTCAACTGGAGGAGGCTCTATAGAGCCTGGGCCGGCTCCGGCGGGCGCCGCTTCCCTCCAGGCCGACAGGGGGCTGTCGACTTCCGTGCAGGCGAGATTCTCCGCTCTCCACCCCAGGGAACGTCACGGCCTCTCTGGCCGGCTTCAGGCCACAAGTGCGCAGGCGCGGCCGGGAGCACGCACCGCAGATCCGAGGAAGGGGTCACGAACTCTGACCCCCCAAATACACAAACCCAGAAAGCTCCCTCCCCCCCGCACTTTCCATTGCGGGGCGCCCCCCGTACCCCGACTTTAGTTTTCTCCAACCTGTCTCCCCCCTCGGGAGACCCCCCCCTCCCGCCGCCCTTTCCCCTTCCCCGCCGCGGCCGCCGCCGCAGGGGACGGTCAGCTCTACGGCTCGCAGCGCGGCGGAGCAGCGCCGGTAAGAAGTGTGGCGCGGGGCGGGAGGCGGGCACGGCCGGGGCGGGGGGCGTCGGGGGTCCGTACGCCCCAACTGCCAACGGACGCGCCCCGGCTCCTCAGGCGTTCGCCGGCACGGCCTTGCGGGCCCCGGCGCACACGGCCCGGCGCGGCGACCCCGGGCGGCTCGGGGCGGGCCGGCCGCGCGCTTGAGGTGGCCGGAGCGGCGCGACCCGCGCGCGTGGGAGGGTCCCGCAGGGCTGCGAGGCCGGAGCCCGGGTGCGCGGAGCGGAGCGGAGCTCGGCGAGCGTGCGGGAGGCAGTTGAGGCGCCGCGCGGCGCTCGCTGGCTGCCGCCTCTCCCGCGGCGCCTCTGACCTTTCACCTACAGGAAAAGCTTCCGTCTCAGCGGCGACGGCGCCGCGGCCGCTTCCCCGCCTCCCGGAGCCGCGGGCCGGCTGGCGGGATGGGGCCCTTCGGCGAGTCGGGGGCCGAACCGCGTCCCTCCGGGCCACTGGGCGCTTCGCGTGCGTCCGCGGAACCGGACGGGATGGGGCAGGCCGGGCCGGGCGCCATCACGCCCTCAGCGCGTGCAGGGCAAGCGGAGCCGGAGCCGCCGCCGCCGCCGCCTCGGGGAGCTTGGAAAGCTGAGGGCCGGCCCCGGGCACGGCCGGGCTCCCGGCAGCTCTTTTGTTAAACCGACTGCGGCTTCCCGTGCCTGTGAGATAGCGGTTTAGGGGTCACCAGCGTGGCCGGTTTCCCTCAGAACCGCCACCGAGTGCCTCAGTCCCGCGAGCACTTGGATCTGGGGAAGCAAAAAAAAAAAAAAACAACGGGAAACGAGGCCTCTGGGGATTGGGGGGCGTGCTTCTGGACGCTTTATCCGTTAGGCGCAGCGATGGCACAGCGGTAGGGCATTTTTGCCTTGCACGCGGCCGGCCCGGCCGACTCGGGTTCGATTCCTCCGTCCCTCTCGGAGAGCCCGGCAAGCTACCGAGAGTATCTCGCCCACACGGCAGAGCCTGGCAAGCTCCCCGTGACGTATTTGATATGCCAAACACAGTAACAACAAAGTCTCACGATGGAGACGTTACTGGGCCCCCTCCAGCAAATCAATGAACAATGGGAGGACACTGCTACAGTGCTTCTGGACGCAGTAACGGGGCTTGGATTTGGAGGTCTTGAGACCACCACCACCACCCCCCCCACCACCACCCCCCACCCCCCGGTTCCTGTGGTTGGCGGGTCTCGCTAGGGTTGCATGAGAATCGTTTTCCAAGTTAGGCTGGCTGATTGGAAAGAGGATTCTGCTCACCCCAGAGAAGGGGATAGTAAAGTCCACATACAGGAAACGCACAGTCTCTTCAGTCGTGGCATCGCGCCCTGCCTTATTGTGGATCGTCATGGATTTCTGTTTTCCTTGTGAGGGGAAGCCCTCGAAGTCATTCTTTTTCAGGCTTTTTAACCAGCCCTCTCTGGAAGGGGCGGGGGTGGGGTGGGGCGGTGGTTGTCCTTTCTTTTTTTCTTCTCAATAAACCTCACAGGAATGTTTTCCTTGACTCAGTATCGAATTTGAAATAAAGTCTTCGTGAGAACTCTTCTTTTTAAGATGCATTATTTTAGATTTTACTTAGCCCCCGTGGGTTAAGAAGATGCTCATGATTGGGTTGCAGACATCATTCCAACACTGATCCCTTTCACCGGTATCCACTTCCTTCTACCAATGTGTCTTGTCCCCACTTTCCTCCCTCCCGCCGCCAACCATGCTCTAGAACGGGGCATTTTAAAATCTATATCAGATACTGGGGCTTTCGTACTGTTACAGATAGGAATTCATGCCTGACACCTTACCAGCTTTCAGCGCCCTTTCCTCCTGGTTGACCTCTTCCCTTCACCATTGTTCTCTTTCCTGTTTCTATTCCCCTGCCCCCAGTTTCCTGCCTTCTGAGGACCAGTCCTCTTATTCTTCATTCCTGTTGCCTTTAGCCACTTGTTGTTCCCCTACTACTGTTTATTTCCCGGAGGGATAAATTGGTGGTGGTGGGTGTTTTGTGAGGGAGGCAGGCCCACCTGGCTGTGCTCAGGGCCTACTCCTGGCTCTGCGCTGAAAATTACTCTGGCAGTGCTCAGTGGACCATGTGGGGTGTTGGGAGGGCTGAACCCAGGTCCACCATGTGTAAGGCAAGCACCCTACCTGGTGTACTCTCTCAGGTACCTTGAGGGATCATTTTAAATCTTTCTCCCTGAGTGACTTTTAGCATAATACTCTCCCGAGACTTCTTAACCCTTACATCTAACATACCGTTCAAAAATTTTTTTCTTCTGACCTAGAGGTTTATATTTCCTATCCATAAATAACTCATAAAATCTGCAAGATTTTGCTTTGAATAACCACAACCTGGAGCGATAGCACAGCGGCAGGGCGTTTGCCTTACAAGCGGCCAACATGGCTGACCCGAGTTTGATTCCACTGCCCCTCTCAGAGAGCCTGGCAAGCTACATGTCACGTATTCTATGTGCCAAACAGTAACAAGTCTCACAATGGAGATGTTACTGGGCCCGCTCGAGCAAATCGATGAACAACGGGAGGACCGTGACACACAACCTATAGTCATTCATTTGGTGGGATTGAGGAAAGAATGGAGGGGAGAGTGGATTTTGAAGGGGGGGCGGGGCAGGGATACCCTTCTCGGGGTTACTCCTGACTGCACTCAAGGATCACTCCTGGCCGGACTTGTGACCCAGACCATATATAGTGACAGGGAGTGAACCTGAGTTGACCACTTGGAAGGCGAGCCCTTTATCCACAGTAGATTTGGGAAATGAAAATAAACTATCTAAATATGATTTTTAGAGCACAGATTTGAAATTTTGACGGATTGGAGAGATGGTGTAGAGGGGTACATCCTTGCCCCTGCTTTGACCTTGGCACAGTTAACTGGAGCAGCTTTAGCAGCACCTGGAGTGATTCCTTAGCACCACTGGGGGTACCCCCCAAACTCCAAAAATGTTGACTCTGAATGAGAGATGGGTGATACCACTGGCCATCAGGCTGCTTTCTGTGGGAAAATGGAGAACGGAGGTGAGAGGCATGAGAAGATAAAATATGTGACTGCATATCCTATCACGATCACGATCATCCTGTTTGTCGATTGCCTCGAGCAGGCTCCAGTAACGTCTATTCATCCTATCCCTGAGATTTTAAAAAAGTGCCATATTCAAGGCTCTTTCAGGATTAGGAGAATGAGACCCTCATCGATACTGGTATTTGGCATATTGGGTACGACACGGGGAGTTTGCCATACTCTGCCGTGTGGGCAGGTAACATTTGGTAACCTGCCAGGTTGTCCAAAGTAAGAAGAATGAGATAATAAGATGTCATGCGGCCGCGCGCTTCCGGGAGTTGGGTTTTATAGTCTCTGGGTCTTGGCTGTTGATGGGATTACAGGGCGCTGGGGGTCAGATGGTGGGTGTGACCCCTGCCTACTGGAAGATGGAAGATCTGGGTGGAGGATGCTCAGCCCTGATCAGAGCAGGCTTGGAGATCTCAGCTCCGGGACCCGCATGCCTTTGTTCCTCTGCCGGTACCTTCATGCGTGTGGAGAGTGGTCTCAGCATGGTGGTGGCTGGTTCTGGAGGTCTTCAGCTGCCGGAGCTCTGTTCGGGGCCGGGAGGGAAACTCAAGCCACCCCCTCCAAGGGGCCCTGGTGAGGACAGCCAGGCACAGGGGCAGGAGACTCTGCGCTGTTCTCATATCCTATATGTGTTAATTAACTCTATGAAGTTCTTTTCTATTTTTTTGTTTTGGGGCCACACCCAGCAGAGCTCAGTGCTCTGACTGCTTAAGAATTGCTCCTGGAAGTGCTCGGGGACCTTATAAGGTGTCTGGGATTGAACCCTGCTCAGCCATACACAGAGCAAGTGCCTACCCACTGTAATATACTATAGTATTGATTCAACCTGAACAGAATCCTTTTTTTTTCCCCTTTCTGGTGAAAGAAAAAAATGGTAAAAGCACTTTCATTGATGGTGAAAGCACTTATTCTGTAAGCTTTTCTCATAACCTCCTTGTTCAGTATGTCAGTTTTCCTGGGTTCCTGAGTTCCTCTTGTTCATTTCTTGAGCTCTTTTTTCATCTGGCTTTCAGGAAACACCATATATATATTATATATATAATATATATACACACATGTATATGTATATGAGTGTGTGTGTGTGTGTGTGTGTTTATTGACTTTCTGGGTCACACCCAGCATTGCTGGAGGGTTACTCCTGTTTCTGCACTCAGAAATTACTCATGGTGGTGCTTGGGGGACCATATGGGATGCCTGGAATTGAACCCAGGTCAGCCTTGTTTGTTGTTGTTGTTTTAATTTTGGGACACACTCAGCTCTGCTCAAAAGTCACTTCTGGTGGTGCTTGAGGAGCCATAGTGCTGGTGAGGTCAAATCCTGTATGTAAGGCAAATTCCATATCAACTGCCTTATCTCTCCAACCCCTCTCCTTAATTTTTTTTTGTTTGGGGCCACACCCAGCAGTGCTCAGGTCACTCCTGAGAGTTCTCAGACGATATGTGATTTGGGGATCAGATTCTGGCATGCTGCATGTAGGAGGAGTATCTCTCCAGCTCCTGTTTTGGGTCACACCCGGCAATGCACAGAGGTTACTCCTCGCTTTGCACTCAGGAATAACTCCTGGCAGTGCTCAGGGGACCATATGGGATGCTGGGAATAAAACCCAGGTCTGCTGCATGCAAGGCAAACACTCTACCTGCTGTGGTATTGCTTCAGCCCTGATTTTTTTTTTCCTTAAAATAGTTTTTTATTGAGTGAAATTTTCTTAAAAAGACATGAGGGAAGAGAAAGGAGAGAAAATTGACTTCTTTAGATTGGTGGAGAAAGCAAGCAAAGATGTGTTCAGTGCTCTTGAGAAAGCAATTCCATCTTGAATTTTTTTTTTCCTCTTTGGATCACACCAGTGATGCTCAGGGGTCACTCGGGGCTTTGCAGTCAGGAATCACTCCTGGCAGTGCTCAGGGGACCATATGGGATGCTGGGAATCAACCCAGGTCAACCGCCTGCAAGGCAAATGCCCTACTCACTGTACTGTCGCTCTAACCCCCCATCTTGAATTTTTATAGCGACTTTTTGAAGTAGGTTTTGTTGAGTTCATATTTTTTATTTAGGGGCAAACTGGACTTTATTTTGTGTAGAAATGGGATTAAAATTTATTTATTGACTTAAGGACTCGGGCATTGTTGTTGGCATAAGCTTCTTGTTTTTATCATTCCTATTTGCTTTATAGTGTTTGATACGTGGTAGTTTGTATGTGAAGGGGGAGGTTTGGAGCCACATTTGACATAAGTCACATTACTCCTAGCTCTGTTCAGGAATGACTCCTGGCAGTGCTCTGGGAACTATATTCAGTGTGGAGGCCTTGGCTGTGTGCAGAGCAGTTTCATTAACCCCTGTATTTTTCTCTTTCCATCATGGTAATATAGCACAGCGGGTAGGGCGTTTGCCTTACAAGCGGCCAACATGGCCGACCCGAGTTCGATTCCTCCGCCCCTCTCGGAGAGCCCGGCAAGCTACCGAGAGTATTCGATATGCCAGACACAGTAACAACACAGTAACAACTAAAATATAAGCTCCAGGGGACACAAATTTCCCCCCACCCCTCGTTTTTGAAGTAGGGGGGCTTTCTAAGCTTAGAGTACTCTGGGGCCACTCTCTGTAGTATAGTAAGTTCAGTACTAGGACCTGAGGATTGAAATCTGCAGGGCCACACCAGCAGTACCCAGAGAGTCTTTGCTGAGGTGCAAACTAGATACAAAGCCTGGCATCACTTAACCTTTATGCTTAAACCCAGCCCCATCTTTCTTTTGTTCAGTAAGATAGATCCCTTATAAGATTTAGGAACTGCTTAATGAGTTTAGATCCGAGTACTGTTAAACAGTTAAATAAAGGTAAAGGTAAAGGCCCTCCCGTTGTTCATCGATTTGCTCGAGCGGGCCCAGTAACGTCTCCATTGGAGACTTTGTTGTTACTGTGTCTGGCATATCGAATACGTCACGGGGAGCTTGCCAGGCTCTGCTGTGTGGGCAAGATACTCTCGATAGCTTGCCGGGCTCTCCGAGAGGGGCGGAGGAATCGAACTCGGGTTGGCCATGTTGGCTACGTGCAAGGCAAACGTCCTACCACTGTGCTATCGCTCGGGAGGGGGAGTTCACTGAAAATTTCTACACTTTTTCCTTAGCCACTGTCAGAGATGATTTTTGTTGTTGTTTTGGGGTCACACATGGTGGTGCTCAGGAATTAGTCCTGGTGCTATGGTGATGATCGAACCTGAATTGGCCTGCATACAAGGAAAGCGCCCTACCCACTGTACTATCTTTCAAGCACCAGAGATGATCATTTTTACAAATAAGTGCAAGATGCATCTTTCTTACACATGATTTAAACAAATATTTTTCACAGATTTTGTTCTTTGGGGAAAACTTCCCCAACAGTGCTTGAGGCCACCAGGGTTACACCCAGTGTTGCTCAGGAGGCTAGGCTGTGCTGAAAATCAGAAGGGGTGACCCTGTGCTTGCACGCTGTTTTGTGCTGTCATCCTGGATCTGAATCTTTGTCCATCTTTGCTAGAATGTCATCTCAGTAAGGCCATCTTTGGCCTCTTATGTAAAATTGTAGGATGGACCCACCCACCCCTCCCAGCATATTGTGTCACTTGTACTTGTTTTACATTTCTCTGGTCTACTTAACTTGATGTATATTTCTCTTGTTTGATCTGTTTTTATCGGAGGGGGGCGGTTGGGCTACACCTGGCTATGTCCAGGGCTTCATTCCTTTTTTGTGCTCAGGGATCTCTCCTGGGCTCTTTGGAACATATGTGGTTTCAGGGATCAAATTCAAATCACATGTGTGCAGGGCAAGCTCCTTAGTCACTGTACTCTCCAGCCCGTTTAGTCTGTTTTGCTGTTTTCTTTCTTTCATTCTTTCTTTCTCTCTTTTTTTTTTTTGGTGCCATATGGAATTGACCAGGACCTCTGGCATTTGATGAGCTCTGCCACAGTGCTATATCCATCCCCAATTAAAATATATAATTGATAAGGGAAGAGATATATTTGTTTTTAATAGTCTCTCTTGTGGCCTTAATACTGAGAAAAATGTCTGACCTGTAGCACCCAGTAAGAATTTGTTAAACTGGGTTATTGGATCAATGAGTGTGAACATTCATCAGGGAGTTGGGGACACAAGCTTGGACTGAAGGATATAAAGGTGAATGCAATGAAGAAAGACCTCTGAACTTCTGGGTTTAAATCCGCAATAAATCAGGAACAAATCAGTGGCACTATTCTCCAACTTCAATCATAAGGAAAGGTAAACCAGAAAATGGGTTGGAAGTTGGCAGGTTCGATAAATCCAGAGCGCACACACCTAGGAAGTAGTTTTATTTTGACTGTACCCAAGATAAGGCCTCTGCTTTTCCAGTCTAGTAAGAGTTCAAAATTCAAGCTAAATTTTAGTTTACTTTTGATTTTTGAGCCATACCTAGTGGTGCTCAGGTGATAGGGAGACCATGTGGTGACAGGGATCAAGCCTAGAACTTCTTCAAGCAAAGTATGTGCTCCAGCAGCCCTCAGAGTCATGTCTTTGACCCTAAGCTAATATTGAATGTTATCTTTAGCACAACTAATTGAGGCATTTTAAAATAAAAATTATTTAGCAGTTCGTATGTAATAGGATATTAATATATTCTTACAACACATGATTTTATAGCAAGTCTTCTTGATAACCTGGTATAGAAAAAAAGCAAAAGTGAAAGTCTGTCCATTTAACTTATAGGCTTTCAGATCTGTTTGGAAACTTTGTAGCGTTAAATTCAAATTGACTTTAATGAAAATATTTCCACTAATGAAGAACAATGGTGAAAATTTTTCAGAAATCTGTCCTTTTGAATGAATGCATTTTATAAATATTTTGAGACTGATATAAGTGTTAAATAGATGCAGAGATGTTTGTTCAAAGACATGCCCCAAAGTACACATTCTCAAAATTTGTAAGAGGAGAATAATTTTATCACCTTCTGTATAGACTTTACCATGGTATAATAATGGTGATCATATGGCTATCTTGTTTATTCTTCTCATCCCAACCAGTCCAACTGGATTTTTTTGTTATTTTGCTTTTGAATCACACCTGGCAGTGCTGGTTCTGCACTCAAGTATCACACCTGGTGGGCTCGGGAACCATATGGGACACTGGAAACTGGATTAGTTTTGAAGTGAATCATCACAATTTCACTTGTAAACTCTTAATTTGTTTTAATGGGTATTGTGTAAAAAGCATCTTTTTTATTTCTGACAGGACATTTTGGCATTTAGATCATGGCTACTATAGAAGAAATTGCACATCAAATAATTGAACAACAGATGGGAGAGGTATGTCATGCTTAATTCTTGAGTCACCAAACTTTGTACCAGCTGTATGTGGTTATGATGGTACAAAAAGGTACTCCAAACTTTATAGATTGTATGGATGCTGTAGGAGCACAGAAAATAATGTGCTGATGAAGAGTAATAGAGAATTATGGGGACCCGATCAAAGATAACGTTTGGAGAGGGTGAAATCTGCGATACCTTTTCTTTTTTATTATGATACCGTGATTTTTTACAAAGTTATTCATTGTAGAGTTGTTTCAGTGTTCCAACCTCATCTTGTTGCCTTTCCCTTTATAAAATATCCCAAATACAAGTTTTTCACCTCCAACTGGTTATTACCAGTTTTCCCATCCGGTATCTCTGCCCATAAATAGGACAGTGCTATCTGTGCAAAAGCTGTATAATAGACTTGTCTGTTTCTTCTTTTCTTTTTTGCCTGTGCTCAGGGCTTACTCCTGGCTCTTCACTCATGGATCACTCCTGATGGGTCTTGAGGCTTGGGGGATCAGATGGTTGCTGGGCATCAAACTGGGTCACTTGCTTTCTAGGCAAGCGCTTGATCCATTTTGCTATCTCTCTGGCCCTCTACTCTTGACTTCTCTACATTTGATCTAGAATGACGTTTTATGTGTGGGGATGGGCCAGGGTTTGGGCCACACCTGACAGTGCTGGGGCTACTCCTGGCTTTGTGTTATGGAGTGATCACAGGAGAGACCATGGGGTAGGAAACCCTTTGTGCTGCACAGCATTCAAACTAGGGTCACAAGCAACACAGCCATGTACAAGGGAAGTTCCTTACCTCTTGTACCATCTCTCTGGCCCTAGAATGGTACTTTTAAAAAACACCTCTGCTTCACAAACTTTTCTGTAGATCTCTATCTCAGGTAATGTAAAAGCCACATACTGCCTGATTATATTGCTTATTATTATTATTATTATTATTGGTTTATCTTTGTTGAAGTAAAAGCTTTGGGCTTGAGAGAGTGTAGAAAGATCAAGTTCATCATACTTTGCATGCTGGAGACCCAGGTTCAGTTACTGGCTCTGCCTGGCCTCTAGAGCACAGAGCCAGAGTCAGTGTAGCCCCAAAACAGAAAACATAAAAACTAAAAAGCTTCACGAAAACTGGAATTTTATTTGTTTATTGATAATATCTAGGACCTACAACAAACAGTGCTTAGCAAATAGACTGCCTAGAATATTTGTCTTAATCAGGTAAGGAACATCCAGCCTGCAGACCATATGTTATGCAAAATCATGTGGGTTGACCCTCGTATGTGACAGGATGAACACGTGTATGCTTCCCATTGACTGCCTGCAACCTGTCTACCTCTGTTGTATGACCTACAAATGATATTATAAATTTCCAGATGTCTCTTGGGTTCCCTACCTCTTGAATAAGGGTTCCCTACCCCTTGAATGGAAGGTGAAAGAAGAAAGAGAGGAAGGAATCAAAATAATGAAACCCAAATATTTTACTGTTTATTTTGTGCACATCTGTAGCATAGAGTTTTTAAAAAGTAGAATTGCTAGTTTAAAGTGTGTGTGTGGGGGGGGGGGGTCTAGCTTTTTTGAAGTATGAGAAAATTGTAATATTTAGAGAAGATTGCGTTGAACTGATTATGTATTTGATATGGTTCTATTAGATTGTTACTGAGCAGCAAACTGGCCAGAAAATCCAGATCGTGACAGCTCTTGATCATAATACACAAGGCAAGCAGTTCATTCTAACAAATCACGATGGATCTACTCCAAGCAAAGTCATTCTAGCCAGACAAGATTCCACTCCAGGGAAGGTTTTCCTCACAACCCCAGATGCAGCAGGCGTCAACCAGTTATTTTTTACAACTCCTGATCTATCTGCACAACACCTCCAGGTAAATAATTTTTTAACTTTTCACTTGAAAATATTAAAATGCATGACATAAATATAAATCCCACCATTAATATGTGCATATGTTAGTGGGTGAGATGCATACTGATATTCTTAATTTGTATGTTTAACATTTGTATGCTTAATGAAGTTGTTTTGTGACCTGTCTAGTGCTTTAGAGATTAGTCCCAGCTCTGTGCCGTGGAAACCTCCCACCAGTACTCAAAGGGAGCATTCGGTCTAGCTGTGATCCCGGTGTCAGCTTTCATATACTGAGCCTATGCAGATACCTCATTGATTCTTCATGAAATTATTAATCTTTCATAATGTCTTATAACATTGAAATTTTATGTAAATAAAGAAAAAGTTTAGCTTTTATTCATAATAGAGTTTAAAGTTTCGGAATAACTTAACAGAAAACAAAATCTGAGACTGAATATGTGTTAAGTTTTTACAAAATGAGAGTATTACCAAGTAATAATAAATTGTTCTGGTTTTGTTTTGTGGGGTTTTCTTTAGCTCTTGACAGATAATTCTTCTCCGGACCAAGGACCAAATAAGGTTTTTGATCTTTGTGTAGTATGTGGAGACAGAGCATCAGGTAATATTAAAAATAATTTCTGTGTGTTGTATTAATAACATAGTCTTCATATTACCTTGTTGTTCATTGGAAGTAAAAAAAAAAACCCATAGAAGCTTGGTATTTTTGTGTTTTACATTTGTAGCAATAAATTCAACTACTGTGTTTTTTCTCCCCAAAGATTTTTTTGTTTTTGTTTTTTGAGCCAGACCTGGTGGTACTCAAGGCTTACTCCTTGCTTTGTGGTCAGGATCACTCCTGGTAAGGTTTTGGGACCATAAAGGATGCCAGGGATAGAGTCCAGTTCAGCTTCATGCAAGGCAGGAACCCTACCCACTGTATTATCTCTCTGGCTCCTTAAAGCTTTTATTTTTGTTTTAATTTTAATTTTTTTTTTATTGGCAACATGCAACAGTACTTAGGATTTATTAACTCCTAGTTCTGTGCTCTGGGCTCATTCGTGGTATCAAGGGACCGTATGTAATACGGGGGATCAAACACAGTCTTCAGATGCAAGGCAAAAACCTTAACCACTGTACTATTACTCTGGTCCATTCCCAAAGGGATTTTACTTACCTGAAGTTTTTTTGTTGTTGTTTTTGTTTTTAATTTTTTTTTTTTATTTCACTGCAGTTTAGTTAAGTCTCAAAAGTGGCTTAAAATGTTTGTTTGGAGCGAGGGACCTCCTAAGTAGTGCTCCCTTCTAGTAGTTTTCAGTCAGGTCACTGGTTTGGTATAAGGGCCCTGCAGTGTCAGAGTTTACTTGTACGACCACAGTAGTAGTAAGGAATCTCCAAGGCTGCACCAAGAAATGTTCAGAGCATTATGTGGGATGGGGATTGAACTGGCATCAGCCATATGCCTTAACTTCTTTAGAATCTCCTTGGCCCAAGATAGTTTCACTTTTTGAAAGTAAATTATGAAAACCTGATGAATCTGATACCAGTTTTTGTCAGATTATTTTAGAAGAATTTGTTCCACTTAATGGCATTAGTTAACTTGTCATCCTAGGAATAAAGAATAACTTAAAGTTAATAGGCAGAAAAGGATTTTGTTATCTTTTATATTTCTATGTGGCTGTACAGGTCATTTCTCCAAGTTTATTACTAGTAGTACTCAGAATTCTGTTGTTTCAGTTCTAGCTGAAGTCCATACCCATATTCATATACAAACACACATTCATATATATGTTATAGGTGTGTGTGTGTATATATATATATATATATTCAAATGCCAACAGAATATAGTTTAAGGGTTTGAGATTTTCTTTAATTTTCTTTAAATAGTTTCCATTCCTCTGAGTGATTAAGCAACATGACATCAGACAGATTCATAGGAGTAAAGAATAAATTTAATCACGCACGTCTGAAGAATCTATGTAGTGCAGACAGGGCAAAATGAGAATATTGAAGTTCTGAAGACTGAACTGGGGGCCTGTGCTTAAAGGAGATAGAAGGAGGGATTCACTTAATGAGGAGAAGAAGAACATGTGGGGGAAACTAGAGACTCTCATCAGGTGTTTGCCCTGCCAGATACAGGTTTTTCCAGTAGAAAGGTATTTCTGGCAAAAATCCTAATTCCGCGTAATGCCCTGATCTTCGTTCTTGTAAGTAGTTCTAGGTAGTTAAAGAGAGTGATAACAAGTTTCTCAGCCCTATTGACCACACTTTGGCAAGGCCTGGATGTGATAGAAAGGTCTCTGTTTTAGGAACTTCATCACAAAAACCTTCACTGGAACTTTTCCCAGAATGTATTAAGTCTGTTACTAGGTATATGCTGGAAAAAATTTAAAAATTGGAACCTAAAATGAGGGATTATAAATGGGTCAAATACTTTCTTTTTCAGCAATTTCATATTCAGAATAAAATTACAATAAAAGAGAGCTCTAATTTGTAAGTTTATCAGAAGTGAAAATAGTTTTTATGGTAATGTGACTTGGGTGATATCTTTCTCAATATTTCCATAGTGGTATTAGAGTTATTGTACATAATTTGAAAACATACTGATTATTTTATCAGTTATAGTTTAATAGCTTCCTCAAATATTTTCTGTCAGGCCATAAGCAAGTAGGGTGCTTGCTTTGCATGCAGCCAATCCAGGTACGATCCCTGGCAACCCATACAGTTGCCCACTCCTTCTAGTAGTGAGCCCTGAGCACAGCCGGGTATGGCCTCAAAAAATAAAACACCAAAATGTTTTCTGTCAAAACCTGAGAAACCTCAATTTCATCTCATTTCTTGTTATTGTTTAAAGGGAAGAAATGAAAAAATATGTTATTTCTGTTTTCCCTCTAGGACGTCATTATGGAGCAGTGACATGTGAAGGATGCAAAGGATTTTTTAAAAGAAGCATTCGAAAAAATTTAGTGTATTCATGCCGAGGATCAAAGGATTGTATTATTAACAAACATCATCGAAATCGTTGTCAGTACTGCAGATTACAGAGATGTATTGCCTTTGGAATGAAACAAGACTGTATGTATTAACCTTAAAGGGAAGAACTACTTTTAAGGATTCAGGAAAACTTACATTAAAAATTAGCATGTTAATAAATAAGTCATTTCTTAATTTGTAGTTTTCTAACTAAAACTCACAAGTTATATGCATATATGTATTTTTTTATTCACGTTAACAAATACTTATGGAATGCCTGTGTGCCATGAATGATTGAAACAGATGTGACAGCTAACAGATGTTAATAGGACAACGACACTAACCAAAGTTCTACTATCACTACTACTAACTGTATTTGTTGCATATAAATAAAATTTTTTTTCTCACAGCATAGTTCTATGCAGAAGGTACTAACTACTGTTACCCATTTTGTTACTGGGCAAATAGAAATTGAGAAGCTTTCCTAAGGTCATAAGCCTAGTAGGTGGCACAACTTAGATTTTAAGCTTGGTTTGCTGGGGCCGGAATGATAGTAAAGAGGGTAGGGTGTTTGCCTTGCACGCAGCTGACCCAGGTTCAATCCCCAGCATCCCATATGGTCTCCCAAGCACTGCCAGGAGTGATTCCTAAGTGCAGAGCCAGGAATAATTTCTGAGCATCGCTGGATGTGACCCATAAAGCTATATATATACACACACACACACACACACACACACACACACACACACATATAGTTTGCTTTTTTCTTTTTTTTTTTTTAATTTTTCTCTCAGAAAATGTACTTCTGGGTCCAGAGTGGAGGTACTGCAGGTAGGGTTCTTGCCCTAGATATAGCCGATCTGTGTTCAATCCCCAGCACCCTGATTGTGGCCCCTACACCAAAAAAAAACAAAGAAAGAAAATATGCATTTAACCACTGTATTACACTCTCTTCTAAGTATCGGGGAATTCCTTTGAAATAAGTATATTGCCTGAATTTTATAGATGAAGACTCAGCCATTAAAATTGCTTTTGGAAAAAAAGGCTTGCCTTTTGAAAAATACAAAAATCTAACTTTGATCTTTTTTGCAACATTTATATCACCCAGTTGGTTAAATATTACTTCATTTTTTAAAGTCTTAGGTAAGGGACAGACCCCTAACTTGAGTTTTTCTTTCTCAGTAGTAGGCTTTTAAAACAAAGAGTTTCCCAGGGGTCACTATTTGAGCAGAGTGAGGAATAGCCCCATAGCAACTCTGGGTGGGGCCGAGGTATAAAAATTACAAAACAAAAGCATTTCTACCACAGCTGGGATGAGGAGAGAAGATACAAATTGGTCTTTGGGGGTTTTTTTGTTTTTTTTGTTTGTTTTTTGGTTGGTTGGTGGGTGGGTGGGTTTGGGGACCACATTTGGTGATGCTCTGGGGTTACTCCTGGCTTTCTGCACTTAGGAATTAACTCCTGGTGGTGCTCAGGGTCCAAATGGAATGCCAGGGATTGAACCTACCTATTGTATATCGCTCCAGGCCCCATTCGCCAGTTTTTATGTTTTGAAGCATCTTGGTAGAACTTCTTCAGAAACAAGTGACTTCTAAAGCTTGTTTATCTTTGGAGTTCAGTAGTTTTTGCCTTCCATAGCAGCATTGCTGACTTAGAGTTTGCATTTTTAATCACCTGTGAATTCTGCATTGCAGTATAAATAGTTTAATGCACTTTTTTGTAGCTGTTCAGTGTGAAAGAAAACCCATTGAAGTTTCCAGAGAAAAATCCTCCAGCTGTGCTGCTTCAACAGAAAAAATCTATATAAGGAAAGATCTTCGGAGCCCATTAGCTGCAACTCCAACTTTCGTAACAGATAGTGAAGCTGTGAGGTATAGTAAAAGTAGCAAATAAAACATTAAATAGCTGGTTTTATAAAAGAACTTTAAGTATTTAATTTTAAACTCTTACAAGAAATCTATGTGCCAGATTTTATGTCAGTAGTAACAACAGAATTTAGAGAAATTTATTTTTAAGAATAGAACCGTCTGAGTTGATCAGGTTGAGGAAAATCTCCTAAGAACAAAAATGAGCTTATTCTGGACATATGGACCTGAAACAAACAGCAAAGGTCATTGCACTGGGGAGGAATGGCATCTAGAAGAGAATGTTGTGAGGAAGAACATAGGAACTCAAGCAGCCTGTGACAGCAGAGTACCAGGACTCCCATATCACTGTCAGGATTGTCTGAATTGGAATCTGTGGGTGAATCAAGCTGTGAAATAGTGCAAGGCTCCAAAGCAAACATCCAACACTAGAAGCTTTTAGAAAGCTTTGGAAGATAATACTTTTAAAAACTTCATATTTTAGCTCAAACCCTTTCTGTCACTAGCTACAATTCTCCCTACCCCTCATGGATTTTTATTTAAAATAAATATTTATTGGGGCCAGATGTTACAGTGAACACATTAGGGGCCCTTGGGTCCTATTCCTGACGTTGCAAAAAGTGATGTGTGTTTATATTTAGAGCAAACCTCTCGATGTAAAGTTTGAGTTTGGGGGCCAGGGAGATAGTTTAGAAAGCTGGAGCTCATGCTTTGCATGCAAGGAACTTCACACTCAGTCCCAAGTTTTGTATGGTTCCCTAAGGACCATCACATAGATATGACTTGCAGGTTATGGGAAAATAAATTTTAACTTTTAAAGCTTAAATCCTTTTTTAACTAAACTTAGAGGCAAATTTTAACAAAATGTAGCTGGTTATTTGTTTTTCTTCCTAGTTGAACTATGGCTAAAATGTGTACTTACTTGTTACAGGTCAGGAGGACTCTTAGATTCAGGAATGTTTGTGAATATTCATCAGCCTGGGATAAAAACTGAATCAGCTATGCTGATGACACCAGATAAGGTGTGTTTAGTACATTTAAAGTTTACTTTTTGTTGGTGGGGGGGCAGGGAACAGAATAATTTTGGGCCACACCCTGTGGCTCCTAGTTCTGCACTCACAGATGTGTCCCGGCAGTGCTCAGGGGATCATATGGGCTGCCGGGGATCAAAACTAGGTTGGCTGTGTGCAAGGCCCACTGTACTGTCACCTCTGATCTGAAATTTACTTTTTTTTAAAAAAGCTTTAGAAAAACTTTACTTTTCTAAAACAAATTTTCAATTATTTGATAGAAATATTATCTGTTAGAACAATTAAATTTCTAATGTGAAAATAATAGATAAATCTTTTAGATTCATCTTGAAATAAAAGTTTTCAGAAAAGAACTTGCAGTACACAATTACTAATATGTCTTTCATATTTTCCTACAAATTTTACAGTGCAAAATACTGCATGTTTTAGGTGTAGAGAAATTTCTGCTATGTCTCATTCAGAAATTTGATTGAAAGAGCTAATATGTCATTTAGGTTGCATCTCTTTATTCAAGGAGTCTAAGTGGGGGGAGATTTTTTTTTTTCCCCTCCTCACCCTTTTTTTTGTTGTTGTTCTTTAATTGAGTTTGTAGGTAAAGTTTCTGTAGTTTTCAGAAACCCATATGCTTCCCTCTCCAAACAAAACAAAAAAATCTCATGGGCTGATCTGATAGCTGCAAGGGCTGGAGCACATGCCTTGCACAGGACTGGGAGTTAAACCTCCAGTGCTGCAGGACTTCCTGAGCCAACCAAGTAAAGCCCTAGTGGCCTACTGGCATTGATAGGAAGAGCCTCTATAAACAAAACAGTTCTCAAAAAAGACTTTGAAAACAAATCTCAGGTTGTCTGTGACTGGTATTTGATGCTATAATGTGATTTTGTATTTTATGACAGAAAATTATTCATCTTATTTACGTTTTGTTATGTATTTGTTACTTGGTGCTTGAACATAGTTGAATACAACACTCTGGAATTAAGTATCATCTGCCACTTAACTATTAAGTATGAGCTTGAGCAAGTTATATGACTGGTCAGTTAGCTGAGCCCTGCCAGGATTGAGTGATTCCCCTGACCCCAAAGCTAGGAGTAAACCCTGAGAACCTCCAGGTGTGGCCCAGGAAACAAAAAGGTAAGTCCTTTAGTTCTTATATAAGAAGATTAAAACCTTGAGGAGCATAGGCTTCCCTTTTTTTTTTTTTTAAATTTTGGGGCCACACCCAGAAGTGCTTAGGGTTTATTCCCGACTGTGCTTTGGCACGACCCTATGGAGTATTGGGAATTCAACTTGGAGCAACTACTTGCATGGCAAGTGCCCTGTTTTCTTTACTCTCTCTAGCCCCTGAGCATAGACTCTCCAATACAAAAGACATAACTTCACATCTTGCCTACACTATTTACTGCAAGACTGATAATTGGATAATTCTCCTCAGCAATAAGGGGTTGTTGCAAGGATTAAATAAAATACACATGTAGGTAGTAATTATGTAAGAACTCAGTAATGGTGTGTTGCTCAATAAGTGACTCTAGGCCAATAAAGTATACTTAATGATTTGTTCATTAATTAGCATGCAGCCAACACTGGTTTGAATCCAGCACTGAACATGGTCCTCTGAGCACTGCTGGGAGTGATCCCTGAGCAGAACCAGATGAACCCCTTTAGTATGGTCCCAAACCCAAAGAAAGAACATTAAAAACAAAAACAGTTAAGGAGAAAATAATTAGGATCCTAACAGGACAGGGACCCCTATCAAATGAATGGAATTGCTTAAGTATTAATAAAAAGACTAGAACCAAAAAGAGCACAGTGGGTAAGACCCTCTTCGTACAGCCCATTTTTACATAACCAGGTGTGTCTCATAAACGAAACAGATAAAGAATAACTAGGGCTGGGGAGAGAGTAGCTCCTAAGGGCTGAGCACATGCTATGCCTGCAGGAGACCTGGGTTTGATCCCCAGTACTACTGGGTGTGAACCAAAAAATTTAAAAGAATGACTAATGGGTTGGAATATATATAAAATACAAAAAGTTGTGAATTTAAGTGGAAACTTAATTCTTGCCTGTCAGCATTAAAGAATGCTGTTGGCAGGCTGGGGATGCCGCCTTTTATGTGTGAGGCCCTGGGTTTAGTTTCCAGTATCTTTTTGCCCCCACACGGTGCCAGATGTGACCCCAAAATAAATCATAGAAATGGATTTCTATTGTCTCACTGTTGACGGAATAATAATTCAGCCCTTTACTGCCATCTTTTATAAAAGAAGTATATCTCTGGTGGTGCAAGCAATGTCTGACCACACTGCAGCAAGGAGGGGTGCAGCCCCTGGTAAGACATATTTGACCAAAGCTATCTGAGTGCCCCTGCTGGCAAGTAGGATAACTAGTGTGCAGGCCTCAGTGAATGAGGATGGTGTGTTAGCTCTGAGCTTCAAGCTCTGTACTTGGCATTGTTTGCCAGAGATACAAGTATGCAAGCACCACACCCAGCACTGTATGCAGCTCCTGGCCATCACATCAACAAGGGAAGAGAAGCAAGGGTTTAGAATTAAAAATTCAATTATGGGGGCTGGAAAGATAGTGGGTCGTGCACTTGCCTTGCAGTTGGGCCACTCAGGTTCAAATCCTGGCACACTATATGATCCCAAGTTCTTCGGTAATGAACTCTTAACTGCAGAGTAAGTCCACACACTGCTGGGTGTGGCCCCAAAACCAATAAATAAAATTACGGTATTGCTCATTTATAAAAAAAGAAAGCCAAGAATAGAAGGAAATAAGCAACTTATACTAGCTGAATACTCTAAATACTTCAGTAAATTCAAACATAACAGTGCTGGTATTTAAGAGTGTCTGCCAAAAATTGGCATTCCAGGAAGTCTGTTCAGTGTTTATGTTTACTCTCCACCCTTTTTTTTTATTATTACTTTTTATTATGCTTATACTTATTTGTAACATACAGATTTTAGAAATTATAGCTACCAAGTTGTTAATGGTTAATAGAGCTTGAGAAATTAAATATTTCATAGAGGAAGCAACTGCAGATATATTAGCTTGGTGTAGTTTTGGGTTTAACATAACTTTTCTGTAACATTTAGGAAATGTATCTAATTTTTTTTATGTCAAATTTTTTAACTAGAATTTCTTCAAAACATTTCTAAAATTTTTTTTGAACTTCCTTTCTGAAGTTTTATTTGTATTAGATTGCTTTTTGTTTTTACATTTCATAATTTTGAATCAGATATTTTACATTTAAGTTTACTAATTCCAATCTGCCATCATTTGAATCTTTTTTTTTCTTTTTCTTTTTTTTTTTTTTAAAGGCTGAATCATGTCAGGGAGATTTAAGTACTTTGGCTAGTGTGGTTACATCATTAGCAAATCTTGGAAAATCAAAAGATCTGTCTCAAAATGGTAGTGAAATGTCTGTGGTTGAAAATTTAAGCAATGGCGATACCTCAATATGTGAATTTCATCAAGACCTGCAGTCTAATGGTGATGTCTCAAGGTAAGGTCTGTTTGATTTTTTTTTTTCCTTTTGCCTAAATGCCCTTTAGTGTTTTTGTAAAATGTTTTTATGTTGAATACTGGTTATGAAAACTTCAGAAAGCAAGTATTGTTACTTTGATATTTAAGGAAAATGGGGGGGGGGGGGGAATTAAGGCATCTTGACAGGGTGACACCAGCATGTACCTCTGGTGGCTCAGACTAGGGTGTGGTTTAATTCATACAAATCGTAGCATCAGTGTGTTTAAATTTTAAATGAAAAAGCTGAATTCAGTGTAGAAAATTGTCCAAGAGGTATGATCTAAATAATGACCAATAAATTAATAAATAATATAAATGAGCGTTAAAAAATTGAGGCTCTCTTCCCCACCCAAGAAATAACTTGGGTCTTGATATTTGAAATAATTTGGTTGATATGTATTATCTTTTGTGTATTGAGTATAAGACATTTGTCTTACTTGGCAGTCATGTTCATTTTTCCCACCAAATTTGAGTGATGAAAATAAATTAAAAGATTCAAGGCTAAGGATGTGACTCAGTGGTAGAGCGCATGTCTTGCTTACAGAGACCTAGCTTTAGTGCCCCAGCACTGAAGGAATAAATAAGACTTAGTTGAGGGGATGGGGCTATGGTTCAAGTGATAGAGAACATGCTTGCATGATGGAGGCCTGTCCTCAGCTTTGCAGAGTATGGGCCTAGTAGTGCTAAGTGCTGTGGAGCTGGAACACCCCTCAGGCCTGGACACCTCCAGGAAAAGGTCTAGGTCTCTAGTCTCTAAGCACTGTGACCCCCCCACAAAACAAAATAGATTGAATCAGCTAGTTTTATGTTATACCTCAGGAAATTCATGTAAGGATTATGGTGTTTCGCTTTGTCAGTATTAATACTCAGGAAGTAGAAACCTGGTTTCTTAAGGCTTTTTTTCCACACAGATTGTTCTTGCCTTTGAGTCTCAGTAAGGAAGTGGTGTGACTGAAAGGTAAAACTCAGGGGTTGCCTATGTGAGCTCTCATGCTACTTTATGTAGTTGCTGTTGTTTTTGTGCCATATACCTGTCAGTCCCTGAGGCTACTTTCTCTAACTTGGTGCTCAGGGGTTTGTTCCCGGCAGTATTCAGAGACCATGCTGTGCAGAGCAAACCTGAGCATCTTAAATGCATAGCCTGTGCACTAGCCCTTAGAGCTATCTCCCTGGCACTGTATTTCTAAAAAGAGACAATCTTTATAAGTTCTTTGAAAGTGAGATTTTTAAGAAACTCTAAAGACATCTCATTGAAAAATACAAGGAGCTGTTTTGAATAATACTTTCTAAGTCTCATGCTAAAAGTTCAGATATGTAAGCTGTGTGACCACAAGTTTTAAAATATTCCTGGATTTTTAAATGTAATTAAAAGCTTAAGTTTATATATATATATAGTATATATTGTTTGCAGTTAATACAAGTTTTTATTCAATCTTAATAATTTCTATAGGTAAAACAAATGGACTTCTATCTTAGAGTATCAGATTAATAACAAGTCAAACCATATTGTATGGTTTTTTTTTGGGAGGGGTCACACCCAGCAGTGCAAAACATGCGCTCCATCCCTTTGAGCCATCTCCCTGGCACATTAATGCCTTTTTTCCATACCACACTATATATTTTTCCTTAACTACTTTCTTTTAATGACCAAACTTAATATAATAATAGATTTCTTACTGTGTACGTGAATTTGAATTTGTTGTTGCTGAAGAGAATCGGTTATCACTGAAAGAGGGTACTCAGTGATAAACTGAGAATTTCTTTTTTTAAAAAAATTGAGCTTACATCTTAATTACAGAATTTCTACAGATTTTTATGTCATTGTGGAGATTGGCCAAGATCACAGCTTCTGATGTCTCCTTATAGGGCATTTGACACTCTTGCAAAAGCATTGAATCCTGGAGAGAGCACAGCCTGTCAGAACTCAGTAGAGGGCATGGAAGGAAGCGTACACCTAATTGCTGGAGATTCGAGCATAAATTACATCGAAAAAGAGGGGCCACTTCTCAGCGATTCACATGTAGCTTTCAGGGTACTTTGACATATATATTTATTTAATTTTTATGTTGTTTTTATCTATTTTTATTTTAATCCTTAACGAAATCAATATATTTGTTATGCTTTTAAAGTCAGAAATATCCCTGAAAGAATTTCAAAACAGCGGCTAAATAAAATAATGGCCCAATAAAGTATCCCTGTTTATAAATCAAAGTATACTATTAATTGGTGGACTTAAATTTATTAAATATTAGCTTGAAAATATTTGCATTCATTATATGTTGAATGCACTGTTCTACGGCTTTAGGATAAAATAATAACTAAGATACTGATATTTTGCCTTTGCCATAATAACCATTAGGAGATCCATTTGCTCTGTATTAATCTAGTTAGCTAGCTCTCAGCCTTCTATTAATTACTAATTATTTAAGTTGATTTCTAAGTAGAAATTTGAAACATTCCAACTTCCTGTATTTTGACTTTTTAAAACTTCATGTGTTTTGTGGGGACAGTACTTTTGTAATATCCGGATTTCTCCCTTAAAGACATTAATTTAGGAGGGAGACAAGATATCTAGAATACTAGAGACAGTGCATATAGTATATTTGAAAATAGCCTTCTAGCACTTACCACTTGACTAATGCTTGGACCACAACTATGATGACCTTTAAAGTCCTACATTGCGTCTGCTGTTTTGACCCTTTGTTCTAAACCACCCTACCTTTGCCAGCTGTGAGTACTGTTATTATTGATGTACAAGTGATTGAAAGTGACGAAATACTTAGTTTCCTTTATATCAAAGGGTAATTGTTCATAACAACTATACTTTTCCCTAAGTTTCTTATGAAAATTCAGTTATTCAGCATATTACTGGTAGAAATAATGAACACAAAAATCTAATCTAACATTGATCAAATCTGCATATAAGTGCCAGAGAGATAGCCACTTGCCTTATGTATGTATGTTCCACTCCAGTTCAGTCCCCAGCACTAATGTGGTGCCCCAAGCACTGGCAGGTTTCATTTCTAAGCATGGAGCCAAAAATACCATTGGTATGGCCCACAATCCGCTGTCACCCTGAAAAATAAATCTTGAATACAGTAATAGAGTTCATATTTACAAAATATGACTTGGTAGACAAAGATGCAGAGAATACTCAGAATGACTTAGAAATTTGCTGTAATTTGATAGAAAATTACTAGTGGACCAGTCTTCATGTAAACTTTTACCAAAGATACTTATATAGGAAAATTTAGAATTTTTGTAATAATGTGCAAGAAAAATTTTAGGACTACATTCTGAGCCAGTTATCATTCTCAGTGTTTCCTTTTTCAGCTCTTTTAATACCTCATTTAGTTTTCGTTTTATTCCTCTATTGAAACTACAGCAGTGTCTCTTAGGCTCACTGAGAGCTCTCAGCAAATACTTGTTAAACCCATGCTTGGAAAGAAGAGAGATGATGAGCTGAAAATCATCTCAATAGTGCTAGGGAGAATGAGATCGGTGGGTTAGATTCCTAGCACCACATGCCTTCCCTCAGCACTGTTGGGCGTGACTCTTAATATGTCAATGAACTACATTTTTGTGATTTGAAAAATGTATACGATTCAGAAGCCAAAGAAATGGATCAGTGAACTAAATGCATGCTTTGCCTGCAGGAGGCCTGGGTTTGATCCCAGCACTGTCTGAACCTCCAAACACCACTAGGCGTCATCCCTTAGCACTGTTATGTATGGTCAAAAGAAAGCAGGGGAAAAAATGTATATGATTTAAGTTTATAAATCTAAAATCTGGACGCATTTTGGTTATTCATTAACATCTTATGATAGAAACTCACCTCCTAATGCAAGAAATCTTGTCTATTCAGTTTATAGATTTGTACATGAATTATTTTTAGTCAGCATTAGTTTTCATAATATTAAGGACATCTTGCCTTAAAAAAATGATGTGAGGCAAATAAATTTCTGTTTAATATCTCTATGAAGAAATGTGCAGTGCAGGGCTCTTTTACATAATGATTTCTTCTGGTATATGTATAAAAGGGATTTAAAACTATTTGGCAAGGACATTTATTTATTATTATATACTCCCCCCCTAAATTCAGTAATCTTTGATAATTTCCAAAATTTTCATATTTTTTTCCCCTATTCACCTTGTACAATTCTGAGAAAGTATGATAATGTTTTCTTGGGGTCTTTTGTTTATTTGGTTTGGTTTTGAGAGCCATACCTGGCAGTACTCAGAGCTTATTACTAGCTCTGTGTTCAGGAATCACTCCTAGTGAGTCTTGAGCGATCTAATCCAGGCTGACCATGTACAAGGTTGTCCTTACCAGCTGTGCTATCTCACCACCCAGATTTTTTTTTAAATAGACAGATGTGTCAGAACAGTTGCCTCCTAGTAATTCATTAAGATGTTTAATATCTGCTTGTCTAAAATTCTCTTAAGAATTGTTTTAATAAGGGGGGTGAAATGATATATAGCAGATAGGGCACTTGTCTTGCACACAGCTGTCCTGGGTTTGATTCCCCAGCACCCCATATAGCCCCGTGAACACCCCGTGGTGTGGCAAAGAAAAAAAAGTTTAATTATGGCATCTCCTGAGCTGAACAACAGATAATCTGATACTGGTAGTTAAGTTTTTCTTATTTTGGGACTGGAATAATAGTAGACTGTGCAGGGCACTTGCATTACACATGGCGAGCCCAGATTTGATCCCCAGTTTTTCATATGGTCCTCGTAGCACTGCCAGGAGTGAAAGTTTTCTATAAGTGGATTTCTATAATGCATTGTTATTTTACTACTTCAAATAATTTATAAATAGACGAACTATTTGTGACTGATATGCTTTTTATATTCATCTAAACTTTCTGGAAATTTATTATTTTGATGAAAACTTTTTGATCGTTTGTAAGCATCACAGATGTGCTCATCTGCCAATAATGACTGAGGCAACAAACTATTAGCTATGTGACTTACCTCCCTCCACCTTTTTTTTAAATCTTGCCGTGCAGGGGATTGAACTCAGAGCCTCCCACATGCAAAACAAGTACTCTACTGCTGAGCTACAACCCTACCTCTGTCCTTTATATATTTATACTCAGACTCTTTTACAACATAGATTGGGTGATCTTAACTCTTATGTTTCAGTTCCTGCCCCTTAGACATCTGTGATATGTTGTACTTAGTACATCTCAGATCATCTTACTAGTTTTAATGCCTATAAGTACTAGGTTGTGTAGGTTTTTCTTTAGCTTAATGATAAAAAATTTAAGTTACTGGGCCAGCGCTATAGAACAGGTAGAGTACCTGCCTTGATCAACCTGGACTCAATGTCAAGCATCACATTTGGTCCCCTGACCCAGCCAGGAGTAAGTCCTGAGCACCAATCACCAGGTGTTGCCCCAAAATTTAAAAATAAAAAAAAAAAAGCACTTCTTCAGACATTTTTATATATGCATTTTTGTTTATGTTTGTGAGTATTTTTCTGGAAAAGAGATTGGTTTATTGTAGACTATTTAGGACATTGTTGGGTTTTAGGCTGTTCTCATTTTTTAAATTTTGATAGACATAGAAAAATTGTCTTCCAGATAATCTACCCTCAGTTATGTGAGTACTTATTTTCCTAAGTTAGAGGTTATTTAACCAAGCTTATTTAATCTGCCTTCCCTTTTAAGAAAAGAGAATTACTTAGGCCCCCTTGAAAATCAACCTTTATTATTTTGAAGTAAAATTTTAGAAGAATAGAAGTTGCAGGGGAGTGCAGTTGTGATGCAGGCAGCAGGGAATGCATTGGAAAACTACCTCGAAACAAAAAGCAAATCTCCCACACACCTGTACCCCCACACCGAAACTGTTCTGGGACTAGTGCCCTCTGGTCATTCCCGCAGTGTTTGTTGGAAGGGTTAGATGATCAAAAATTGTCTACATTTGTTATTTCAGTAGAGAAAATGTTTTAGTGGATTAAATTGCCAGTAAAAATTTTCTTTATCAGTATCCTCAAAAAAGCTTTTGGAGGGCCCAAGAGAAGGCTCATAAAGGATACAGGCTTTGAATGCAGACAGAAAACCCAGGTTCAGCCCCCAGCAGCCTTACACAAATTCCAGAGTGGATTCCTAAGCAATATTTCAGGAGTAGTGTTTTCTAGGTGTGGTGAAAATAAGTTTAAAAATTCTTGCGAAGTAATTGATGCTGTATCTATTTCTAGCAGTACATCTTTAAATAGTTACCTGAGGTCAATACCAGAAGCCATGAGCAGAATCCCACCAGTGTATTTTGTTTCCCCTATCAATTTACTCTGCATCTGCTCTTTGAAAGGATGGAAGAACTGGTGGTGCTGCACCCAACTCCCCATGATTTAGTACACTGAATTCAGTCATTGCTGTGCCTCTCATCAGAGAATGTGCTCTCCAAATGGCACCAGCAGCAATGTTTCACTTACTACTCTCCTGAGCATTTGAACTTGTTAATCCCATAGCTGAAAACAAGTTGTAATATATTTGGTCCTAAAACTAAATTTTTTTAGGGGTTTGGTTCAGTTTACTACTTCTGGCAGGCTTGTTATATGGATTGCTGGGGTTCAAAACCCAGTCAACCATGTACAAGGGAAGCACTTTACCTATTGTACTAGTGCTAAATGGAATTTTTTATAAACCGTTGTTAATAAAGAAACAGAGGGAAGGAAAATCTACATTTTTAGACCAAAAGTGAATGTAACTCTAATACAACTAGAGAATACTGTGTTTGAAAATGGAATTCTGATTGTTAGAAATTGTAGTCTGCTCATTTTTTTCTAAATTCTGTGATATAGCATCTGATGACTTGGATTATTTGATATTTGTGGTAGACATAGTAGGCTATTGTTTGATATGTTTACATTTAACTATTTCAGAGTTTATTGAATCATTTTAAAGTCCTGTTACAGTACTTTATTAAACAATGATAATCTGGAGCTTTGCCTCTTGAGAAAACTTACCTAAGGCCCTGTTCCCACTAGCTCACCATGCCTTCTCCGATGCCTGAGGACCTGAATGTGCACTACATTGGCGAATCTGCCTCCAGGCTGCTGTTCTTATCAATGCACTGGGCACTTTCAATCCCTTCCTTCCAGGCTCTAGGGTAAGTGTTTCTAAATTCTTCAGTATACATTTTATCACACAAATGCACAGCAAGTGATAACTGTATTAAATGGAAAAATCAGTAGATCTTTTTAAAGTTTATCATTCTACGTCAAACTGTTGCAATTAACATTTACTTTAAACTCTTTTTACTGATTGCAATTCTGTGTTTATAGTACTGTTAGTTTCTCATACACATAATTTCAACACCACACCCATCACCAGTGTACCTCTGTCCCTCTTCCTCTTTATGTTATTTTTATATGGACAAATGGCCGTATTTTGTCTTGACTAAGCCAGCTCTTACAAAATGCATGCAACAGTGCTGAGAAGTCATGGCCTGCATTTGTAATAGGCTATATGGCATTGATTTCACAATAGAGAGGCTCTCAGACTTTTAGGTTTGTTATCTTCCTCTTGGTTCTAGTATTTCAGGTATGTTAGTAAAGAGCTGAAACTAGTTTCAAACTGTAAACGTGTTTAAAGTATAAATAATTGTTATCCAGTTATATGACTACATCTACGGAATGATGTGGAAATGTAAACTCCATAATTTTACTACATTAATTGTTAAATTTAGACCTACCACTAATAAGCACATTGTTTTGTTTTGTTTCCTTTCTGGGTCACACCCAGCGATGCACAGGGGTTACTCCTGGCTTTGTACTCAAAAATTTACTCCTGGTGGTGCTCAGGGGACCATATGGGATGCTGGGAATCAAACCCAGGTTGGCCACATGCAAGGCAAACACCCTCCCCACTGTACTATCGATCGCTCCAGCAAATTGTATTTTATTGGAAGTAATGAGATGATGTAGAAAACGTCTATTCTTAAAAATTGAAGCTTGGACTGGGGAGATACTTCGGAGGGGTGGAATGCATGAGGCCCCAGAAATTGAGCACCCTCTGGCCCCCAGAGCACTGTTTGGTATATACCCGGTGGTCCCTCAGCACCATTGGGTCCAGACAGCAACAGTGCCACCAGACCTGAGTACCTAAACATCAGACCCAGAGTGGCCCCTGCACTCCCAAGGACTGCTTGGAACCATAAAGAAAGAAACACTCAAGCTTTGCCCAAAGATTATTATACTTGCTTTGATTGCTTTTAAGCACTGGTAAGAGTTGAAGTGAGGGGAAGGGAAGAGAGGTATTAATCCCATAGTTAGAAGACATTATTCTAATTACAGGACCCTACTTTATCAGTATAGTGTTGTAATAGTTCCTTTATGTAGATACATCTGTTTTATTTTTGCCAAATAGAAATGAAGACTGCGGGTGTCAGAGAGTACAGAGGGTGGGAGACTTGCCTTGTACCTGGAAAGTTCGGGTTTGATCCCCAGCATCCCATTTGTTCCCTGAGCACCACTAAGAGTGATTTCTGAATGCAGAACCAGAAGCAACCCCTGAGCACTGCTGGGTATGGCCTGAAAACTTAAATAAAGAAGATAAAGAAGAAAAGAAATAATCACTGTGTACATTCTCTGCCCTGGAGACTCACCCACATCTCTACCTGAGATATTTTCACCCTCTGAAAACGCCACTTTCTTTCTTGAACATGAACCTCTCTCTTTTTCTCCATATTTTTCTAAGTAAATTTGTCTAAATATAACCTATTTTACTGGGGACTAACAAGGTGGTACAGCAGGTTAATCACTTGCCTTGCACCCAACCAAGCTGTGTTTGATCCCCAGCATTGTGTACAGTCCCCATATCACTAAAAGTGATCCCTAATCATAGACCCAGGAGTGATTCTCTCAGCACTTCAGGTTGTGGCCCAAAGCCCATAAAAGAAAAACAGCTTTAAAAAAGAGAAGAAAGAATAACTGGCAACTTTCTGTCCCTAGAGAACATTTTGGGCCTTTTGGTGTTTGGTTTTTGGTTTGGGGGGGAATACCTGATGGATGCTCCAGAGTTACTCCTGCTTCTCTGCTAAAGGAATTTTGCTGTGCCAGGGATAAAATCCAGGCCTTTCACATGCAAAGCATCTACTTAACCCTTTGATCTATCTTGCCAGCCCATTTTTACTGTAACTGAGAAACTTTTCTTAGCAATGACTGTAAGACACACACACACACACACACACACACACACACACACACACACACACACACAAACATTGTAATTTATACCGTGCATTAAAATAATGTACTTAAATACTTAATAGTTCCTTGCTTTTAAAATATCTAATAATTCAACCACCTTGTTTTTGCACTTACTCATTTCAGAAGGAAAGATTATTTTTAAATTTCTCAGTTACAAACATTTAACATAATATTACAGAATATTTGGTTGCCCCTTACCCCTGTACCAGTGTTGTACCCTTTCCATTCCCTTTAGGCATTTGTTATTCCCTTAGCATGTTTCTTTATAATCCCAAGTGAGAGAGGTCATTGTGTGTCTGTCCCTCTCTCTCACTTTTCACTCAACACAATTCTTTTTAGATTTATCCGTGTAGCATCATTGTATGATTTTATCTTTTTTACAGCTGTTACATACTCCGTTGTGAATATGTATCATAATTTCTTTATTTAATCATCTATTCTTAGGCTCTTGGGCTGTTTCCAGGTTTTTTTCTCTTGTGAATAGTGCTTCAGTGAGCATAGGAGTGCAGATGTTTTTTCTGTGCTGTGTTTTGAGACCCTTAGGGTGTATTACAAGGAGTGGAATTGCTGGGTCCTATGAAAGTTCAACTCCTAGTTTTTTGAGGAATATTCATATTGTTTTCCAAAAGGGCTGGGCCAGTCTACATTTCTCACCAGCATTAAACGAAGCCCCCCCTCCCAAGAAAAGATATTTTGCAAAGATAATATAATGTTCATTTATTTGTTTTCCTTAACAGGACAAAACTAGTAACAACCATGCCCTTACCATCATAACATACTAACATTGAATCGGTGTAGTCTCCACTGAGAATTTTGACATTACCACTTTACTTGCTAAGGTAATGACTTACAGAAGAACAAGATTTTTGGTTGATTGATTGGATATGAATTTTTTTCAGGAGGCGGGGGGCAGGGGGAAATGGGGCAGAGTGCTGTGCCTGGGACTTACTCCTGGCTCTGCATTTGAAGGACATTCCTAGTGGGGTTCAGGGACTATACATGGTGTTAGGAGTTCTTCCTTCCATCTCCCTCCCCTTCCCTCTTGCCTCCCCCTCCCTCACTCCTTTCATTCCTTCCTTCTTCCACTCTTTCTTCCATTTTTAGGCTATACCCAGTGATACTCCTCACGGGTTACTCCTGGCTCTGCACTCAGGGATCACTCTTGGTAGGCTCAGCGTGCCAGGGATAAAATCCAGATCAGCCGAATGCAAGCCTATTCTCTGTACTATCACTCCAGCCCCCTTTCCTGTTAAGCTTTTAAGAAAACTGTGAAGACACTTAGCTGTGTCACAGTAATCTTCTATAATGATTTCTATGCTTTGCCCTTTCCCTCATTCTTTCAATACCACAATGTGATAGTTCCTCGGTTGTTACTTTTCCTCATTTCTTTATTGTACTCCATAACATTTTCTCTAGATCTCTCCTAGCAATTTGAAAGAACTCTTGCTCCATAATGCAAAAGTGTGCACAGAAGCACTGACCAGCTCTTATTGATTGGCTCTTAAAGTTTGTAAACTTTTAAAGTCAGTCTCAAGTATAGAATTAAAAAAAGTAAAACTTCTCTGTCTCTGCAGTGACAACTCACCAGTCAACAGCCCTATTCTAGCTGACCAGTTTGTGGCCTACATCCTCTCTTTCTTTTTGCATTTATATTTTGGGGTTTTTTGGGGGGGTGTCACACCCAACAGTGCCTGGTGCTGAGGGATTATTTGTGATTGTGCTCAGGGGTCAGTTATGGTGCTGGGGATCAAATGTCAGCTGCTATGAGGCAGGCTGCTTAACCCCCATGCTATCTAGCCTCCAAACCTGAAACTTGTAATGAGATTCTTATTCTGGTAATGTTTGAGACATACTTAAGGAATAATTTTTCCCATGAATTTAGTTGCCCACTATCAGGTAACTCTGATTGCCATTTTCAGTAAAGTGTTTACTGCATTTAAAGCTAAGAAAATGTGCAAATGATTTTTAAAACTGTTTTTTCCATTTTTTAATATAATCTTTTCCCATGAAATGGGTTTAAGGCTACAATTTTTTTTTAGTTTGAAATATTACATGCATCTCTTCTTAATTGAAAATTGGCTAATTTATTAATGAGCTGTTAATATTTACATCTTTTTATCCTTCCATCAGTTGCTGTCCAGATATACAAAGCACAATTGATCACATTCATGTCTTGTTTCTCTTTCCAGAGCAATTTTTCTTTAATAATGTTTTATATTTAATAAAAGTTAGTTGTAAGGTCTTATTATAATATTTGATTGTGCATCTGTTTAATAGGCAGGAGAACAGCATATCATTGGTGAAAGCTTATTGGAATGAACTTTTTACTCTTGGTCTTGCCCAGTGCTGGCAGGTGATGAATGTGGCAACTATATTAGCAACATTTGTCAATTGTCTTCATAGTAGTCTTCAACAAGGTAAAAATTGATTTCCCTTTGCATTTTGTAAAAGAGGAGGGGACATTATTTTTATCAAGTGTTGCTTGAAGTTACCTCTCTGATGATTCATTTTCTAGATAGCCAATACCCTCTTTACTTTTGATATATTTTATATTTAATTAGCACTGTCCTCCCGTTGTTCATCAATTTGCTCAGGCGGGCACCAGTAACGTCTTCATTATGAGACTTCTTGTTACCGTTTTTGGCATATCGAATATGCCACAGGGAGCTTGCCAGGCTCTGCTGTGCGGGCGGGATACTCTTGGTAGCTTGCCGCGTTCTCCGAGAGGGGCAGAGGAATCGAACCCGGGTCGACTGCGTGCAAGGCAAACGCCCTACCCCCTGTGCTCTCGGGTTATTCTTGCTTATATAATTTTAGTTTGGGGGCACACTAGGTGGTACTGACGACTTATTTGTGGCTAGGTTCTTAGGGGGGTGCTCCTGGTAATTGTTAGGATCAAACCTGCATGCAGGGGCTGGAGCATTGGTACAGCAGTAAGGCGTTTGCCTTGCATTCAGCCAACCTAGGTTTGATGCCAGCATCCCATACGGTTCCCCAGCATTGCCAGGAGTAATTCCTGAGTGCAGGGCCAGGAGTAACCCCTCAGCATTGCTGGGTGTGACCCAAAAAAAAACCTGCATGTAAAGCATGTGCACTAGCTCCTTGAGGTATCTCTGTTACCCACCCCCTTCAAAAAATTACAAAGAAATTCATGAGGCAACATGATCTGCAAGCTTATTATTTTGCACTTGTTTGTTTAGGGGCATACCTGGCTGTGTTCAGTTTACTCCTGGCTCTGTGCTCAGAATCAGTCCTGGAGGGGCTCAAGGGACATGGAGGTAGAATTCAGGCACATGCAAGGCCTTAACTTCTGAACTATTTCTCCAACACCTGTATACTTGTAATGCTACTTCACATCCCCGGCATAAGTATTACTAAGGTTCCACCAACATTTTTTTGGCTTTTGGTGGAGTTGGTTTGTTTTGTTTTGATTTTGGAGGCACATCCAACTCCTGACTCTGTGCTCAGGAATCACTCCTGACTTGCTCAGGGAACCATATGAGGTACTGGAAATCAAGTCCAGGTCAGGTGCATATAAGACAAATTCCCTACACGTTGTACCATCGCTCTGACCTAGTTTGTTTAAAGAGTATCACAAGATTTAATCAAGTATATTTAAGTGTAGCCAGCTGCTTCTGGCCATAGATTTTAAATGTTTTTTACTGTAGTATAAGTATCAGAATTCAGGTTTGCCTCACATCAAGCGATCAGACAGATTTATAAATATTTGTTTTCCACCAGTATTTGCCTTTTTTTTTAAGGTCACTCAAGTGGTGCCAAGGGGCTACTCCTGATTCATCTTGGGTCTGACTCCCAGTGAATCTTGGGTAACGGTATGTTCTCAGGCTTCGAACCTTGGCCTCTTATCCAGTGCATCACATATGGTCCCCAGAGCATCGCAAAGAGTGATTTCTGAGCACAGAGCTTTGAGCTCCACCAGGTGTGTCCCCCCCCCACCCCCCCACCAACCCATCAAAAAAAAAAAACAGCAAGTTAACACTGGCTTGTACCACTACTATCTCGCTCTTGGACATCCCATAAGGCAGTTTGTAACATGCTAGAATTATAGCATACTAGAATGTCACATCAATCTGTACCAATAGAAATGATTATTATTGCCAAAATTTCATCTTATACTTTATTCCTGTGCCCCCAACAAGATAGAGTCCTATTGAAGCTTTCAGATGGGGAAAGCACAAATTACAGTGCTGGTATCAACATGTTAAATAAAATCCTATTGTTAAGTATGGATTTTGATACTTCTGTTGATTCCCCGAAAAGGGGGTTGTTTATTTTCCCACAGTGTATATTCTTAAATGTATATATATTACATGTACATAGTAAATGATTGTATTTAGAGCTGGAGATAAGCCTGAGAACCTGTGGTTACCCATGGATCACTGGGAGTGATCCCCACGCAGAACAGAGTCAGGAGTAACCTCTTGGCACCACTGGAATGACCAAAATGTGAACGTTAGTACTTGGGGGGGTTGTGCTAATGGATTGCTGTTGTTGTTAAATAAACAGTTGTCTGGAGAAAATTAATTTTATCTGTATTTGCAGAGATACTGAATTTTAAGCCTTCATAGACTGGTTGTGTTTAGAGCTGGAGAAACACAAGAAAGAAATATGTGGGATAAAAAGTAATCATTTTAGCTTTAAAAAAAGTCACTTTGTTTTTACTTTTAATTAAAGATAAAATGTCAACTGAAAGAAGAAAATTATTGATGGAGCATATCTTCAAGCTACAGGAGTTTTGTAATAGCATGGTTAAACTCTGCATTGATGGATATGAATATGCCTACCTGAAGGCAATAGTACTCTTCAGTCCAGGTACATAAAAACTAAATTCTAACCTAAAGTATAGTGCTTGAATTGGAACCCTTATACATTGCTGGTGGGAATGTAAAACGGTTGGGTTGAAGTGGAAACAACTCAAAGAGCTTATTAAGGAAAAATAATACACGAGTGTATGTATGTATGTGTATATAGTAGAAAATCATTCAGTGATGAGAGAGAAGGAAATTCTGATATATACTGTAAGCATGGGTGAATGTTGAAAGCAGCATGCTAAAGGAGAAAAAAATGAGCACGGTATATAATTCAGTATATATTAAATATCTAGAATAGGTGGTTTTTTCCCCTCTAGAGAAATTCATGTTTTCTCTTGAACATGTCTTTCCTTCTCCCTTTACATTTCTCTAACTTTCAATAAAGTCTGTATTGCTTCACTAAATTTTTTTTTTTAATTAAAAATATTGATCAAGAATAGGCAGTCTTTGCCGGGACAGTAGGACAGCAGATGGGGTGCTTGCTTCGCACAAGGCCAACCCAGGTTTGATTCCCCGACATCCCATATGATCCCCTCAGCTCCAGAAGGTGCTTATTCCTGAATGCAGAACCAGGACCATATGTGGCTCCCCGCCTCTAATAAAAGAGTAGGCAGTCTACAAACTGAACGGTGATAAGGGGCTATCAGGAAGTAAGGAAAGGGGAGAAAGAAGAGCAGTGACTGCCAGTGGGTACAGAAATATTATTAGTTTATTAGCTTATATAGCTTATTAGCTTATATCGATGGTTGTGCAACTCAATATACTAAAAACTGGTAACTTTAAATCACAAAGTGAATTCTATGGATGTAAGACATTTATCAGGGTTTGAATAGGAAAGAACAGACTTAATGAACTGTGACAAATTCTCTTGTCACAACAAATTTTAAACCGCATACCTGGTTTACCTACCACTGAGTCTTTTTCACATATAATAAGTTAACTAGTAAGCTGGCATATCGAATACTCTCGATAGCTTGCCGGGCTCTCCAAGAGGGGCGGAGGAATCGAACTCGGGTCGGCCATGTTGGCTGTGTGCAAGGCAGACGCCCTACCCGCTGTGCTATCGCTCCAGCCCTAGTAAGCTCAGTGTTACTCTGAATTATTAGCAAAGTTGACTGCTTCAGACTTTGTATATTTCATTTTCATATACATTTTCTGTTTGGTTGGTTCTTGTGTTTTGGTACCAGTGATCAAACCTTGGGCATAATTTAACAACCTACGAAAACTTATACTCTACCACTGAGCTGCATCCCCAGCCCTGGAGTATATTTCTATTCCTGTGTGTCACAACAATGAAACTTAGAGCTTTCCCCCAATAACACTAAAAATACAAAACCTTTTAAATGGTTATGGTTTTGCTCCTAAATTAATATTTATCTTTTTTTTTTTTTTTGGCTTTTTGGGTCACACCCAGTAATGCACAGGGGTTACTCCTGGCTTTGCACTAAGGAATTACTTGTGGCGGTGCTTGGGGGACCATATGGGATGCTGGGAATCAAACCCGGGTCGGCCTACCCACTGTACTATCCCTCCAGTCCCAAATGTTTTTTCATTACTTATTTTATCACCTTTATTATCCTAAAATTTGAAATAACAGATTCAAAGTTCAAATGAAATTTGATTATTTCCAATATATTCTATTTTCATTCAGAGCAGAATTGTTTTTCTTTTCTTTTTCGTGGTGAGGGGGGGATGGCTTTGGATTACTGCACTAGGGAATCACTCCTCGTGCTGCTTGGGGGACCATATGGGATTCGGAAATTGAACCCAGATTGGTCGCATGCAAAGCAAATACCATATCTATCCAATGCCCCTTATTTTCAATATTTCTTAGTATGGACAGGTTTTGGATGTTCTTTCAGTAGTTCCATTTTTGTGATTTGTGTTTCGTCTGTGTGTGATGCTGGTCATAAAAACTAGGGCCTCTCACATGCAAGTCATATGTGCTCTGCCACTAAGCATGTGTACATGTATGGAATTTTATAGTGGTATTAACCTGTTTAGATTATTTCATGTTTGTTACAGTTTTTCTGAGAAAAATGGTACTCATGGTTTAATAATTACATCAATATCTTTGGTTGTGCTCTTGGGCTACACCCAGAGATTCTCTGGGTTTATTCCTGGCAGTAATCGGGGCCCATAACAGATGATGGAGATTAAACGCAGGTTGGCCTCATGAAGGGAAGCATACCCTACCTATTGTACTATGGCTTCAGTCCCTCATCAATATCTTTTTAACTAACAGTGGCAGTAGGGTAAAAGATTACAGAATATAGTAGGATATAATCTCTAAATATGTGATTTAATTTAAAATGCTTTGCCCGGCAAGCTACCGAGAGTATCTCGTCCACATGGCAAAGCCTGGCAAGCTACCCGTGATGTATTCGATATGCCAAACACAGTAAAAACAAGTCTCACAGTGGAGATGTTACTGGGCCCGCTCAAGCAAATCGATGAACAACGGGAGGACAGTGCTACTATTTGGAAGAAATTAGGTGGTGACATTTCTTTTTTTCCTGTGGAAAATAAGAATGATAAGATTCCCTACTGCTATTTTGGAGGTCCATAAAAGCTATTTTCTTAGAAACTAAATGTTTTACTGGATGTTAGAATGCATATATGAGGTTAAATGATTCCAGAAATTGGGATTGAAGAAATTAACACACAGTTAAGGCACTTGCCTCAGCACTGTCAGGAGTAAATTCTTGCACAATCGAGTGTTGCCCAAAAACCAAGCACACGAAAGTGATTTTAGGACTTTAAAAGGTTAGACACTATTCTAAGGCGCTTTTACTTAGTAGGTGGGATACTCAATTTATTTGGAAATGGAGACTCAGGTAACAGGGTTTTTTGTTTTCACTCATCTTTTCTTCATCCCTCTCCATTGTCTGTGCCTGTTGAATAAGCATTATTGAATTAACTGTACTAAATGAGGGTAACAATATTTATCTTTATTGTTTCAGATCACCCAGGCTTGGAAAACATGGAACAGATTGAGAAATTTCAGGAAAAGGCTTATGTGGAATTCCAAGATTATATAACTAAAACATATCCAGATGACACCTACAGGTATCTGGAATTTAAAACTTTTTGGTGAATCTATCATTTCGCTGTTTTTTTTTATTTGAAACATAAATGTTTAATCAGTTTTCAACTTTAAAGTATTTCCATTCTCTTAAGTAATTGTACTGTTTCATCCATCCCTTATATAAGAGAAGACTTTAGGGAGGTTGTCTTAAGCAGAGAGTGCTTCCAACAAGCTATACCTGACCTGTCTGTACAAATGAGGAAACAGGTTCTCCACCGAGTTCTCATGGGAGCATGGACTCAAGCTGGCATGAGGAAGTGCCTTTGCAGGCCTAGAAAGTTAGTCCTATCCTTGGCCCAGGCAGTGCAACTCTATTGCCTTTCCTCCCCGAAAAGAATATCAGGGAGCAAAATAAATACAGTGTCCTTGATTCTGTATTTCTTCTCTTTCCAGCAAAATGATTACCTTTTGCAATACTGTTCTGTAAAGCAAAACCAAAGACAATATTAGCTTTGTGGGTTCTGGTAACACAACACATCATCATTCTTAAAACTTCAGATGAATTCCTAAGCCTTTCATAAGTGTGAAACTTGATCCATAGTTTATAATAGTTCATACAGCCCTATAGAATCTGCAGTATCATAGGTGAAGCAGGTAATTATCATTTACTCTGAGACTGAAAAATGCTAAAGCTTTTCTTTGTATTTGTGAAAGATGATTTAATTTTTTAAAAAAAGATTTTTATTAAATTAGGCCACAACAATATATGCACAGAAATTGCCCGTTTCTATGCAGTCTTAAAATTTACAGCCTTGTTTCCCCTCCTTTTTTTTTTTTTCCTTCTTAGGTTGTCTAGACTTCTACTCAGACTACCAGCTTTGAGATTAATGAATGCTACCATCACTGAAGAATTGTTTTTCAAAGGTCTCATTGGCAATGTACGAATCGACAGTGTCATCCCACATATTTTAAAAATGGAACCTGCAGATTATAACTCTCAAATAATTGGTCACACTATTTGAAAGCTGAAGTCTCAATGTAAACTTATTGTTCTTTCCCAGAACACATGATACCAAATTGAACTCATTTTTTTCCAGGGCACCGGGAAAGTTTGACTTTCAAGATTAACCAAAACCTAGCTTTTTTTTTTTTTTTTAATTTTAACTTCTGTAAGTTGAAAAAAGAATTTCCTAAGTGACTGGGGAGGTAGCAGGAATTAGAATATCCCTTTCTTATTTAAGTGAATAAGAAATACTATGAATTTATTCTTGCTTAAGATGATACCTAAAGCCAACACTTCTTCTCTAAACTAAGATCTCATTATATTTTATAAAATAAATTAGTCCCCACCCCCACCCCACACCCCGCCGAATTGTGTTCTATTCATATTTAACTGCATTATGATGAACTGGTGTAAACACTTAATCATTGGAAATCCCTAAGGGGATTTCCTTACATTTTACTATTCGATTATATGTTACAATTACCATGTCAAAAATGATTATTTTATTCTCAGCGGTAAAATGATAACATTAGAAGTATAGGAAATAATAATTGAGTATATTTTTGTCTTTTGTAAATATCATGGCATCTCTTAGCATATACCAACCATTCTCATTGCTGGCAATGAGACTCAGGCCACTTGTGATCTTAAAGATTGACTCTTTTATAGTGTTGTATATTATTAGTTAAAAGCACTTTTTATTTATGTATGTAGCAGAAATTGAAAGTAAGATACAATTCATGTTTTAATATTTTTGGTTTACTACTGTATTTTAAAAGTAGAGACTGATTGAACCCAAAATGTTTCAGTATTTCAAAATAGATATTAAAATTGTTGCTCTTCCATTCCACAAAAAAGCATCTGACCTTTCTTCCTCATTCCTGACCTGCATTTTAGTTTCCTAACCCTTCCATGGGTTTTAGCAAGTTTCTTGTGGGTCAGTTGTTAAAAAATATTCCTCTTGTTAAGTAGTCACTCTGTTTTCAAGGTGAGTTATTTAAATCAAATGTTTATTTTATTGAAGTTTTAAAGATATATAGTAATATGCACTCATTTTCTGAGGGGCTGTTTTAGTAGTATAACATCAGTGTAAAACCTTTTTGTCACCACAGAGACATTTTATTAGAGTCCTTGGAGGTCATCTACAGCCATGTTTTTTTCTTAGTGAACTTACTGCTGTTAAGTACTTCTTTGCTGATTTTATGATAAATTGTTATGTTTATTCTTCTGAAAATACAAATGTGGAGGTTTCTTGCACTCAGAATACAATTTTTATAGAGATTTTTCACAGTAGAAGAGAAGCAGAATTTGAGGAGAGGGTCTAGATTTTATTAACTGCATCTTTATACTAGATCAGAAGTTTAAAGGAATCAACTTAATGGTCTTTACCAATTTATAAGGAAGGCTTTTTTTTCCCCCCTACTTAAAACATGATTTTCTTTGGTCAGCAGACATAATTATCAGTTGGAAAATACTGCATTTAGTACAAAAACTCAGATGGAAAAATCAGGAGGTGTGTATCTTTACAAACCCAGTGAAATAGCCAAGGATTCAGGAAAATAATTCTTTAAAATAATGTACTGATAGTTAATTAAGATACACATTTCTCTCAAGTATTTTTCCTGATTAAATTTGTAGTTATACTTGGAAGTGTTTTTTTAAAACTATATTAAAATGTGACTTGCATTACAAATTTCTGTTTCTTGACAGTATATTTGATCCAGAGTCCAATATATTTGACTTAAGAGTCCTTTCATTCAGTGTGTGTGGTCTGTATTTTGTATGTTTGTTCTACTAGAAGAGATTAAAGAGAGGGATTAAAGTACTCTCAGAAGGGAAGAAGCATGGGAAATATTTCCATCTCCAGTATTTTACAATTGAATTGAAAACATCCAGTTAAATATCAGAGTTTGGCCATTCTCTTCTTTCTCTGAAGTCTCAGTAGTGTAGTAATAGTGTGTAACCACACAGTAATAAATGGAACAGGAGTGAAGATACTGAAGGAAAGAATTCAGTAAATTCTTAGAAGACAAAATTCAGATGGAAAAAGAACCATAAGCTACAATCTATAAGCATCCGTAAAAGTTGTTTTGATGGGGCCAGAGTGATAGTACAGCAGGTAAGGGATTTGCCTTGATATGGTTGACAGTTTGATCCCGGCATCCCATATTGTCTCTCGAGTCTGACAGGTGTGATTCCTAAGCTCCTGAGCATGTTGGTTGCGCCCACACCCATTTTTTTAATTGTTTTTTTGTTTTTTATTTTGATGAAAAGGAAAGAACTATACCTTCTAATATCCAGGAAAGATCTTCAGTTCCTAGAGGAACCAGATGTTTGGGAATGGGGATGGGAGTAAGATATATATCAAAGAATTGGTAGTAAGTCTATCAGAATTGTTGATTTCTCTCTTCCTTTAGTTAGGGGACTACATTTTTGAGAAGATGAGAATTAAGAAACGGAACTGGAAGAATAGATTTAGAGAACACCAGAGAATGACAAGACTTATATTAAAGAGTTTAATATACATGATCACAATCACAATCATCCTGTTCATCGATTGCCTCGAGCAGGCACCTGTAACGTCTCCTTCGTCCTAGCCCTGAGATTTTAAAGTGCCATATTCAAGGCTCTTTCAGGGTTAGGAGAATGAGACCCATCATTGTTACTGGTATTTGGCATATTGGGTACACCATGGGGAGTTTGCAAGACTCTGCCATGTGGGCAGGTTATATTCAGTAGCCTGCCATGTTGTCCAAAGTAAGAATGAGATAATAAGATGTTGTATGGCCACGCGCTTCCGGGAGCTGGGTTTTGTAGTCTCTGGGTCTTGGCCGTTGATGGGACTACACGGCGCTAGGGGGTCAGTTGGTGGGTGTGATCCCCACCTACTGGAAGATGGAGGATCTGGGTGGAGGATGCTCAGCCCCGATCCGAACAGACTTGGAGATCTCACCCCCAGGACCCGCACGCCTTTGTTCCTCTACTGGTACCTTCATGCATGTGGAGAGTGGTCTCAGCATGGTGGTGGCTGGTTCTGGAGGTCTTCAGCTGCCAGAGCCCTGGTCGGGGCGGGGAGGGAAACTCAACCAGCTCCCCTCCAAGGGGCCTCAGAGAGGACAGCCAGGGGCGGGTGCAGGAGGCTCTGTGCTGTTCTCTTCCAGGAGCTGGGTTTTATAATCTCTGAGTCTTGGCCATTGATGGGATTACATGGCGCCATCTACATGCAAGGCAAATTTCCACCCGCTGTACTCTCAGGCCCCACCAGATTTCTACTATACAACAGGAGAGGAGAATTCTGAAGGCGATTGTTTGATCTTTTACTGGACTTACAGTACCTGTCACTTTCTCAGATAGGGCTAAGGTTTTTGGGTCCTGATCCTTTTCTAGTCGTGGCAGAAGCAAATAAAAATTTTCTCCAAAGAAATTATTTGTAATAGAGATCAGAAATTGGTACAGTTTTCTGAAAAGAGCCAAAAAGCAAGTATTTTGACTTGGTGAGTGTCTAAAAACTGACTTTGCTTTAACCATCAAAGGCAGCTATAGACTATACAAATGGATCATCAGCATGAGCGAGATCATCACTTACAGAAAGAGACATCATGGGGAGCTTGTTTTTCAAAATGAGCATCCAGAGAGAGAATGGGTTAAGGTAGTTGTCTGGCATGCTACTGAACCCTGGAGCCAGCCCCTAAGCATCACTAGGTGTGGCTTCAAACCCCCCCCCCCCCACCCCACCAAAAAAATGAGCACATGAAAGATCATGAGCCAGGGCCGGCAGCGGTAGCATAGTGGGTAGGGAGTTTGCCTTGCACGTGGGCGACCCGGGTTCGGTCCCCAGCATCCCATATGGTCCCCTGAGCACCACCAGGAGTGATTCCTGAGTGCAAAGCCAGGAATAACCCCTGAGCATCACAGGGTGTGACCCAAAAAGCAAAAGAAAAAAAGAAAACAGCCATTTGAATGAATTTAAAATAGACAGCAGGGGCTAAACAGACACTGGAGTATGTGTTTTTTTTTGTGAGGGAGGCTCAAGGTTATCCCAGCACTGGTGGGAGTAGCTCCTGAACCCCCACAGGTTGTTACCCCCCAAAAAAGTAACAAGAGGTCAACCTCTTAAGGGTCCCATTGTCCTATCCACACCCCTCCCATTCCACCTCAGTGCAGGTTTGATCCCCAGGGCCACCCACATGCCCTAGTGCAATCCTGGCAGCTCTGTTTTCTTGTGTGAGCACTTCAGCTGGGGTTTGCTGCTCCATCAAGCACCATAGCCTTGTGTGTGAGCCCAAGTCATTATTACAACAATTATTACAAGTCATTATTCCCACCAATAGAGGGAATGGAGAGGAGGGAAAGAATGCATACGTACCCTGAAGACAACATTGAATAACTGAAATAGTGACATCTAGATTATAATGGTGGGGGGGTGGGGGGGGGGGGAGTGTGGTGGCAGAGGTTGGGCCATACTCAGAAGTGCCCAGAGTCTATTCCATGAGCTTTGTGCTGGGGATCACTAGTGGTATTCAGGACTGTGTGGTGACAGGGATCAAACCCAAGCTGCCTACATACAAAGCATGCACTCAGCCAGATTGGAGCTATTCATCTGAATTTTAAGGAAAAAAATTCTATCTTTACATAGCCCTATGTTGTAGGACTGGAGAGATACATGGCCAACGTAGATTGATACCCAGTAACCCATATGCTCCCCCAAGCCCTGCCCAGTGTGATCTCTGAACACAAAGCCAGTAGTAAGTCCTAAGCACAGCCAGATGTGGACCCCACTCCTCCCTGCAAAAAAATCACACGATTTATTTTGGTTTGGGGTTGAGAGAGGTGTGTGCTTGTTTGGGGGGCACACCCAGCAGTTCTCAGGGCTTATTCCTGGCTCTGTGTTCAGGAATCAGTCCTGGAAGTGCCAGGGATTTGAACTTGGGTTGGCTGTAAGGCAAGCATTTTAACCGCTTATGTCTCTGACCCTATAGCTGATTTTTAAGATAATGCTACCCCTTAAAAATTTACTGAAATCTGATTTAAGGAGTAGGCTCTAGGCCACATGTGTTCCGGAGCTATTCCAGGCATGATGCTCAGGAGAGACCCCTGGTGGTCATCAGGAAACGTGCAGTGCTGGACTAGAATTTGTGTTGGCTG